CCAACTCCCCCCAAAACAACCTTCTCAACCCCCCAGAACGCGGATGAAACCCCACTCCATCCCCCCCCTCACTCGGCAGAAGCAGAATCTCATCTACCCCATAAAGCCCCATGCCAAACGGTAAATACTCGCTCTCACCCCAATCCACAAACCCCGTTAAACGTCCGGAGTTCCTCTCGACCATGATGTTACCTGGTAGTAGATCGCCATGTGTAAGGACCCATGGTAGACTCGTTATCTCCTCGAAGCTCTGCAGTAGTCGTGTGGTGAGAGGGAAGAATCTGGGGGGTAGGTGTGCATGTAAAGATAGTAGACGATGATGGAGTGTCGAAGCGACTTTGGTTTCTTTATACCCCTGTGGAGGGGGGAGAGTCCGGGTTTTATACGATTCTACCTGGAAGGCTGCGAAAGAGACTATCAACTTCGTAAGGAATTCCGAACTCGTAGTAAGTTCTCTATTCGCAACTCGACAGTCTTGAAGCGAGATCCCGTCCACAACGCTCATTTCATAAACCAATAATCCCGTTCTCGGTAACGTGGTAACATATCGCGTAGTCGGCGCATATCTCGGATACACCCTCGAAGCGAGAGATGTGGCGCTGAGATCTAATCCGTAGTTCCTGGGTCGGAACTGGATTATCAGCTCTGAGGAGAGGGAAAAGGTAAGTGAGCAGAAGCCTTGCGAGGGGACGAGCGTGTAGGTCTCGTTTGGATGTGTGGAGGTGATGAACTGGGAGAGTTCGGAGAAGTCGCTTGGTGTTAGATTGTTTCGTATGAGGAAGGAGTGGATTGAGGGATTTGTTGATGGGATGGTGGGTTGGGGAGGGGTGGGTATGGGGTTGTTTGGAGTTGAGCGGGGTTTGGTGGGGGGCATGGTGTATGGCTTCTTGTCTTACATACGATGGTCTTGAGAGGGGGAAGTACTAAGATTATTATAATAAGATTAATCTCGAAAACAGATGTAGGTATATGTACGAAATATGTAAATCATGAACTACTGTACAGCACTTTATATAATTCACCAAAGTAAAAGAAAGGATGAACAGCTCCCCCTCTTACTTACAAGAAGGGGGTACGAGGTAGGGAGTGGAAGACCTCGGGAACTTCCCCACACCCCACGGTTCCATATCGATGGTGTCATGCCTCAACCTTGCACCTCGATAACACCCACCCATTGTAGAAGGGAACCTCCAATTACCCAATCCAATAAACAAAAAGGAAGCCTCACAGCATGACCCCTCATGCTCAACCCCCCAAACCCATCCAAATCCGTAAACCTAACCCCCACGACTCCAACCACTCGGGATCCATCTCACTCGCCTAGGTAGGGTCAGGTCAGCTACCTATTCCCTGAAAGCCACGCGTGATCCACGTACGACCGCTCCACGTCAACAGCAAGGACGTGTCATGTCCAATAGGTAACACAGCAGTTCTCATCTCTGCCTTGGATACCAGCTACCTAGATGAGATATCCAAGGATATGGGGAGGTGTGGTTGGTTGGTTGGTACGGCGAAGAGCGCGGAAAGGAGTTTGTATAAATTCCGTACGTACTCTACTTAACCTTACTGTACTGCATGTGCATGGGAGGGGTATGGATGGTCATCAGCACGTTTTTTGTTGAGTTTATTTTTGGGGGCGGGAGGAGCATGGATGGGAGGGGGTCCAGGTTAGGATTTGCCCTGGCGAGTTTTGCGAAGTACTGTAAGAGAGGCGAGCATTGCTCTGTACACGGTATCAAAAGTCATTATATCAAAACTCTGGTACAAGTAATTCAATTGTCCTATTTTACCTAGCACAATAAGGATTGAAAAGTAACAATTGTTCTAAACTATCCGTAGAATTGTTTTAGTTGTAGAAGGTCTTTGGAATAATATTTTTATAACTCTGGTATGTACAGAGTAATGCTCTGTCACGAATCACGTGCTCGGGTGATACTTGTCATAATAAGAGGCGCAACCCTCGACAGGCACATCCAGGTTTCTTATAGCAAATAGGGATCGTTTGGAGTAGCTAAGCGATCCAGGGATTTCTCTGTATTGTTATCACGTGATATCAGGAGTTCGCCAGTCAGCCGGGCGAACAGGCGAAGTTAGCCAGTTCGATTGTCGAACGAGCGAACATCGAGAGAACGAAGGTTCTATATAAGACTGGCACGTCTGCCATTAGATAGGAGCTTCGTGCTCAACTTAGTTATCAATCTTATCATATTAGTTTGACATCTTTGATACAAGTAACGAGTTCACTTCCAAGTGAACAACCCGATAGTCTTCTTCTTATCATAGCATACCAACCAGCGAACACCCAGCCAAGTTTAGTTAGCCAGTTTGAGTATTCGTTACATGCTCGCCTCTCTTACTGTAACACTCTGGGTTTTTCTTAAAGTGCTGTCGATAACTTCTAGCACCATGAAAGTGGGCAATTGGCGAGTCACTTGAAATTAAAAGCCGGTAGGTTCTCGAAATGGTGTTTTCATACAAGATGTGTTTTCTTCCTTGACAATATTGCTATAGCAATGGTAGTATAACATGAACCCTGCTTTCAAAGCATTCCATGGCTATCGTGGAAACAGAACACGCAAAGGGAGGACGGAGTTGTTCCGCTATTTTCATTTCATGATAGAAGGGCCGTTGATGATAGTGGGAAAGCATAGCGGCCGACCTTCGGGAATTTCCTGCTCAAAACCTTCTACCAAGAGGGGCAAACAAAAACCCACTGTAAAGTACCATGTCTCGTGAACAAAGATGGGTATAATCTTGAGCCTCTAATTTCCTGGCTATCGAAACGAATATATCATCTCAACGATGAGCTGTAAAGATGAAAAATTCCCGCAATTCCAACCAGGCATCAGGTGTGCATCCCACCCAATGACACAATTGCGACGAAGCCAGAGCCTAGTGCAAAAAAGAAAGCGCTTCAGAAGGTGGTATAAGAAAACAAAACCGCGCAGGTATAATTAGCGTAAAAACAAAATAACCCGACAAAGAAGAACGCCTTTACAAGTCCATATCATGACCTGTGTCTTTGCATAACAGATCTGCCTCCCCATCAACCATGCCCTTCAGACCAGTATTGCGAGCATTCCCCCCATATGTATTGGTGTATGCGTCAAGGTATCGTAGTTTCCCAGACCGACGAAAGAAGATCCCCCATCATGCTGCTGTTTCCTTTTCGTTCATGGTGGTGCTCTTTTCCTCGTTCTTTGGTCTTCGTTCTCTCATGACAGCATCTTGCCCACCCATTCTTCTACCCAGAGCTCGCTCCAGCTTTGCTCCTAATGCCAATTTACTCAGGTTCTCAGTTTTCTCCTGAGTGGGTACGAATCGTTGGCTCTCCAATTTCTTGTTGCCGAGCTTGTCGAGCCCGTCTCCAATCTCTTTGATCTCTTGCTGGGCCGAAGCGGATGATAGGGATGTCTTGACGGTGTTGGCTACAGATGGAGCATTGCTGTATGTGCTGAAGCGAGCGGAAGCGCGTTTGGATGAAAGCTGACGAGGAAAATTCATATTAGTCGAGGCTATGAAAAATGTTTCTGTTGTGCAAAGAGTGGATAGGGGGTGACAGTTCAGAGGCAGAAGAACAAAGCCGACTTACGCTGGGTGCCATGATGGGACGAGATGATTCGATTGAGGCTCCCATTTCTCAAAGATGGATATCAGGGTTTTAAAGAAGAAAGAAGGGGTGTGGATTGAACGGGACGAGGCCTGTTCAGTATGACCGTTAGGAAGGTGTCGAGGATGTTGATGCTGACCGCAGATCAAAGAGGATGACTAGTGATCAAGGTTGGCTTGGTGGTTCTTCTTGAGAGCGGAAAGGAGATAGCGGACGGGGGTTGTCAACGGGATTGCAGGGCTGGTGACTGGCGTGGGTGTGGGAGTGGTCACTCCGGTGAAAGGAACGAGATGGGAGAAACGGGATTGGTGAAGAGCAAGATACTGCAAAGCAATGGATGCAGCAACAGCACAGCACAGCACAGCACAGCACAGCACAGCACAGCACAGCACAGCACAGCACAGCACAGCACAGCAGGCCAGGCCAGGCCAGGCCAGGTATGGCGAAAAACGGGGACTTTGACTTAACGGCACCAGCCAGAGGGCAAAGGTAGTGTGGTGACAGTGTACAGTAGTGTTACTGGCGTGTCGCGGATGGCTCTGCAGTGGACCAGTCGTCGAGGCACCCTGGCCCCGGTCCAAGTCTCCTTTCCACGTTTTTTGAGGGTTCGGGGTGGTCCACTGTGTTTGAGGTTCACGATCCTCGCTCGCGAGTGGCTGCAGCTTTAGGTGCTGCGATTAGAGGACCACGATGCGGGGATGCGGCACGAGGAGGGGCAGAAGCCTACGGTAGTGTAGATTCCGTGACAGGTGTAAGTAGAAGAAGCTTCGTTGCCGGATGGTTGGGAGGAACGTGGAATGTTGGTGTAGTGTCCTCCGTGTGCAGTGCTGCATGGAGTGGTGTAGCAACGTGGTTTGATGGGGTGTTGGTTGTTGCTCAGGTGTGGTGTGGGTGTTACAGGCACATGGACATGGGATTGTTGATGTTTTCTGGAAAGTGAAAATCGGTTGGGCAGATGCGGGAAGGGCGAGTATTGGACAGGGTTGATATACAGTATGTACAGCCATGACAGTAGGTACAGAGGTACAGTAGTAAGTAGAAGTAGATGCAAATACCACTCCCCCCGGATTCTTGATGACTTCTACTCCGCTTTGGGAAACTCAATGCCAAATGCAAATGTAAATTCAAGATGAAGGGGCCAAAGCAGAAGGCGACTACCGCTCTTCTGCGAGTACGAGAAGACCATCGTTACCTCTGCCGCAACATGATCTTACGAAGCACTTACTTCGAAGTAGTAGACTTCTCAAGCGCAAGATTATCCTAAAGAAGAAGATGTACGCAGCGTCTGTACTCGAGTAACGATTAATCTCGAGTAACGGACCGACCTGGGAGAAGCTTAACGTCCAAGATCCGCAACCAGAAGAGGTCGGAGAAAAGGGGAGGAGCACGGAGGAGCAAGCCATTGCAGGGATGTGGGATTGGTGTAGGAACAATCCAACATTTTCCACGTTTCGCCATGTGGAAGACAGGTACTTCGTACATCTTCTGTGCGCCAAGAGGATGGGGATCTGACGGATCTGACTGATCTGGATGTGCTTTTGCTTGCCGAGCGAGATCACCATTGCTCGGTAAATTCTCGTTGAAACAATAGGAAGGACTTCGCAGCGAGTACAAGCGGTTCAACCTCCGTAGGTCTTTTTTGCTGGTACTCGAGTACTTGAAGAGAGATATCAGAACCAAAGCTGATGCTACAATCTATGTGCAAGAGACCTGCCATCACTCTAGACACACCTTCGGAATCTATTGGGCTAGAATTCCTCATGCAGTCAACCTAATGAACCCGAATGACTTGGGTCAATAAAGTTATCTTGATTTGAATTCTCCTAAATCGCTCGTACACGATTGTAGTCGCGTGAGACTTTATAGGTAATTTTGTTCTACCCAAGGTGTGTTCAGAGTAATGACGGCCTCTCTTACCCGACACCGACACCCTTCTAGCACATTGAGCTGCAGTTGGATTAGATGAGCAATACTCGAGTAAGCGCTTCTAATCTCCTACTCCGATGCATGCGCCGAATTTTCACCAGCATCTCCGTCAAAGTTTGTCACTGACCCCGGACTACTGCTACCTTTACCTTCCAAGTAACAATCTGGTCGCCATCACCATCACTGCCCAAGATGGCCCCCAAGAAATCGTTCATGAAAGACCTCAAAAAGAAGTCTAAAAATACGCCACAGGTACGGGAGTCGAAGCACATATTGGCCTCCATCACCTTTGCCCTGGATTAATCATCTATAGCAATCAACCACCGCAGATGAGTATTTAGCAGGTATATCCTCTTATCGCCATTGGGAGAAGCGTGCTAAGTCAACAAAATAGCCGGGGTAGATTTCGAGGAGGCAGGTGGAAAATGGAGAAGTGGCGATGCCGCAAAAGTTTGCGCTCCCCCCTCTACACAGAGTTTCTTTCTGATGTCTCATAGTCTGCGAGATTTTTTGTACGAGCAATTGAATGCTATGATGAGGCCCTGAAGAAGTTTCCCACGTCCTTCGATCTAGCCTATAACAAGTGAGTGCATGTTGACAGAAGGAAGACAGCCAGTGGCTCACATGCTCGCATTAGGGCAAGAGTTCAGTATGAGCTTACACAACATCCCAAGTTACTCAAGCAGCTGCAGTTGCCAGGCATGCAACTTTTGCAGACTGCTCTCGACTCAAGTCGATACGCGCTGAACCTCAATTCTAATGGTGCAGATGTTTTATTGTGAGTTTATTTTCGCTGTACGAGTATAACCTTTTGCTTATCATTCATTGCTCGGGGTATCCCGGCTCTGCTTCCACACTTTATTATTTGTCAAAGATTATTCGTTTTCGTTCTTCAGGCTTTGCTACTCTGTTGGTCATACACGCAACATCAGGAAGCAGACACTAGGCCCAGGTCTTATCAACAGCATGTCAGCGTCAAGACTCCTACTTCCTTATCATTATCCACAGTGCAGTGCTGCATGATAAATTTTTCATAGCGCACGGTTTTATTTGAGGGCTTATTTCTCGCCCAACGTTCATATGTCACTCGGATTCTTGGTCTTTTCATGAAGTCATCAAATATTTCGATTTGCTATCAGATCCTGCGCGACTAGCTAACGATCCCAGCAATACTGCTCAGGTTTTAACCAGTCTTGCTGATGGTGTAAGCTGGAAAAACTCAAATGATGCCGAAGGTGATAGAGCATCATGTAGTCTCCTCGAAGAAGCATTGGGTCTTTTCCAACGATGTCTCCTTCAGCAGGAGCGGGAATATGAACAGTTTCAAGCCCAACTCGCTTCGGCTTCTGGCCAAATGGAAGCCAGCATATCCGAAAATGTGCAAATCCAGGAGTCCAACTCAAACAATTCTACCCCACAGTCTACTGATACGAACGAAGAGGAGCAATGGGTTAGTGTGATGGAACCAATTACAAAAGACAGCCTCGTCGATACACTCCTTGCTTTGGTTGAGACCTTAAGCGTGCTCTGCAGCCGCTCTAGTCGCCTTGAACGGGACGCTGGAAAGTACCTACATACGGTCGAACAGTTCGCTACTCCTGATTTGCTACAAAAGCTTTCTATGTATGCTTCCGGTACGGAAAGAGAACTCGATGCTGCTGTTGGACAAGCTGGCTTGGTCAGTTCTTGCTCAGAAACGAAGTATCGTGTGCGAGTTATTGAATTTAGGGTAAGATGAAATGAATGCCCCCCGTTTTTTTTTTCAAAACACTCATTGCCTGTATCTAGGCTTATTCAGCTGCCGTTGAGGAAGCATGGGCTCGCTTAGATCTCGAGAAACATGTCGAAGGCCTCTGTAACCGTGCGGAATCCTATACTACTGCCAGCAATACCATATTCGAGGGTGAGGCTGCCAACAGCGCTGACCCTAGTATCATATCAGAGATTGCAAAGCTACAATGGATGCTTTTCTCACTCGCAGCTCAAGATGTTACTGCTGCCTCTAAATTCCGGGACGATGAAAACATTGGCAAAATCTTCCTGATGAGAGGTGATCTTGAACTTTCGAGGGCATCTTTGGGCAGACCACCGCTTAATCTTGAGCTGGCGCAGAAGAATAGGAGTGTGTTATTGGGAAATGCGGAGAAATATTACAGAGGTGCTAAGGTCTTGACGTCAGGTGGCGAAATGCAGGAGGAGAATGAGGAGGCGACTATCAAAGAAGCTTTGGCTAAAGGGTTGTTGGGGAATTGGAAAGAACTGGAGATAGTGAGGGAGACGAATGTGAAGACAGATGAGATTTTGTGGCAAGCTGTGGGCGAAAGATTGGTTGACGAGGAGACTCTTGGGGCGATTGAACACTTGAAGGATGGGTGAGGCGTGCAAATAATGATGGTGAAGAATAGTGCATACAAAATCGCATCTCACGACGGGTGTGGGGATTCACCAAGTGCTCTCTGCTGGTAATGAAATACCCGTACCAAATCTTCCGCAGCGACCTGGTGGAATATGGTATCATAAAAGGCCGGGCTCCCGGTGGACAAGAAAAGTAGCAGAGATTCATCTTTTTACTACTAGCGTAAGTTAATTCCAAGTACTAAAATATTCAAAATGTCTTGAACAATTGCCCTTATTGCACTATCGTTTTCGAGAAATCATTTTAATTGTTTTAAATAGATAATATAATATAATAGTTTTTAGTTAAGTTAGGATAAGATAAAAGAAGATCTCTGCTACTTTTCTTGTCCACTGGGAGGTATAGGCTAATAAATATACATTGATTTAGAATATCCTACACTACTTGTCACTTGAGTAATTAGTTTAGTTACCTGTATATAAGAGTTTTAGGGTTTTATTATTCTAACGTAGCTAGGTGTGTTTAGAGTAATAACTTCCTTTCATGCCCTTGCTTAGTTAACTCAATTTCCTGGCAATTGTTTTAAAACTTTGACTACAATGCTCCAGGCAATCATTCACTCTCATATATGTCTCATTGGATAAATGACATGCGTGATACAAGCATTCCAAGGAGGAACTTTGACTTCGCTTGGAGAAAAGACCAGGTCACGTGAATTTGTTGGTTTTCTATTTGTGGCTTCCGGTTGGCGGCAAAAACGTTCAACTTTTCACATTCTCTCAATGCTGCACAGTAACAGAACGACTATTTTAATTCCGCAAAAAAAAAGGTAAATATTTGGAAATTTGTGTCATGATTCCAATTATCCTGCTAGCGATAATCATAACTTTACTGTTTTTGTGATTAAAATATGACGACCTTTTTTTCGTCTTGGTACTTAGAAAAAGGGCTTCACCAGGCTTGGCATGAACTCGTTGGTGGCCGGGGCTCCGCAGCTAGCGCACCGCACCGCCGCAAGAGCCATCCCATCCACCTTCTTTTGACAAATTTACATGAACCCTCTCTCCTCATCGCAACTCCACCAAAAAAGCATCAACCACCAACCTGTACCCCTCCCCCTCTCTCAACTCCCGACTCCCAACGCAGTCGTCCTCCAGAATTCTCTTTCGGTTGAGCTTCTGATATCTGATCTTTTCTAATCAATCTTATTGTCTTCGACCCCCGCGGTTCACCACATCTCCTTCCAAAAAAAATTCAGTCTTCCCCCCCACGGGTGCCTCTCCTTCGAATCAAAAAGCGCGCTCGATATCCGTGACAGGACTCGACTCGACAGCCTCGCAGACTACTTCGTTGCATTCAATCACTTCCTCGGCGGAATTATACCCACGTCTCCTTGGTTAGAGCGATACCCTCATCCCCACAACGATACTTCACACACAAAATAGAAGCTACCTTTTCCATAAATTTCCATCATGGCGACCAACGGTAGCTTCACACAACAGGATCAGTACAAGAACGCACCCGCAGAGCAGTATCCAGCTACCTCGGGCGCTGCTGACTCTAATACTGGAAGCGCGTCGGGCAATGACTTGTCTAAGGATGAGGTTGGATGGTACTTCGTCGAGCAATACTACACCACCTTAAGCAAATCTCCTGAGAAGCTTCACGTAAGTCTGAATGGCAGTATTCCCTTCAGCGACGATGCATGCTAATGGAAGTAGCTCTTTTATGGAAAGCGCTCTCAGTTTGTGTCTGGTCTAGAGGCCGAGGTAGCTCCCGTCTCTGTTGGCCGAAGCGTAAGTTTGAGATTCTTGCTTTATTGTAGTCATCGTCTAATTGTACCAGGCAATCCAAGAACGCATCCGCGAACTCGACTTCCAAGACTGCAAGGTTCGTGTCTCCAACGTCGACTCCCAAGCTTCTTTCGACAACATCGTCATCCAAGTTATTGGTGAAACGTCCAACAAGTCTGCTGAGCTTAAGAAATTCGTGCAAACCTTCGTTCTCGCCCAACAACCTACTGGATACTTTGTTCTCAACGATATCTTCCGATACATTAACGAGGAGGGTGATGAGGAGGTCGTTGAAGCCACCCCAGTTGAAGACGCAGCCGGTCCTCTTGTCGAAGATGTCGAGATGCCAAAAGCTCAAACTTCTACCGAGGAGGCAGCTCCAGCCACTCTGAACGCTGATGTTGTTGATAAGAAGTTGGAGACTATTGAGTCTGAGGAAGCTCCTACCCCATCTACCAATGGAATTTCCGAAGAGGCTGTTTCTGCCGAGACCCCAGTCACCGAATCCAAGGAGGAAGAATCTACCCCCGAGGCTGCCGAGAAGGCTATTGAGGAAGAAGTCAAGGAGCCAGAGAAGCCAAAGGAGCCAGTTCCAGCTCCAGCTGTCACTCGCGCTCCTTCTGCCGCCAAACCTGCCGAACCCGTCAAGCCAGCTGCCACAGCCAAGCCAAAGAGTTGGGCCAGTCTGGTTGGTTCATCAACTCCTAAGCCAGCTGTTCCGGCCTCTGTTACTGCTCCAAAGACTGCTACCCCTCCTGCCCAAGCTCGTGCTGCACCACCCGCTAAGACTGCTCCTGTTCAGGCTCAGCCAACCGAGTCAACCGTCTCAGCTGCTGAAAAAGACAAGGAGAACACCCCTGGTGCTGGCTGGCAATCTGTTGGTGACACCACCAAGCGACAGAACCGAACACAATCAATCTCCCAAGCACCACTCGAAAAGGAAGGTACCATGGCATACATTCGAAACGTTACTGAGAAGCTTAGTCCTGAGGAGCTCCGTGGTGCATTGGAATCATTCGGTAACTTGATCTACTTCGACATTAACCGTGGAAAGGTATGTACATTCATGTAAATTACTCCTGAGACCTTGCTGAAATTTCTTCAGAACTGTGCCTTTGTTGAGTATGCCACTCCAGAGGGATACCAAGCTGCTGCCGCTGCCAACCCACATCAAATCGGTGGCGAGAACATCTTCGTCGAACCACGTAGACCAAAGGCAAACGCCTACGGTGGAAACGGTTACGCTGGCGGACGTGGAGGTGTCAACACTCGAGGAGGTCGTGGCGGATTCCAAAACGATCGCCAAGGTGGTCAAGGTGGTAGAGGCAATTTTGGTCCAGGAAACCGAGGACGTGGTGGTGCTGCAACTTCAAGAGGAGGTCGTGGAGCGTCTCAAGCTACTAACGCATGAGCCCCCTTTTCTTCCTCTACGCGCAGAGCCTCAAACTCAACAGCAAACACCCTACAATACTCAACAATTTCGACACTGTAACATACTTTGGACCACGGTTATTTCTTCTTCTTGAGACCCAAGAACTTTGTACTTTACTTGCTATCTGCCTATTCTTTTCTTTCCTCCCCCTGCGGCATTCACTAATTTTTCAACTTCCGCTGTCTCTTTTTGAATTTGAGAAGAAAAGTTTTTAGCAACGCATGTATCAAGGATGGATCGTTCGGAGATTTTTTTGTCCTTTCGGTTTTTTACAGGGTTTCATGGGTTACTTGCTTGCTTGGTACGAATAGTTCACCTGCGGTTGCGTTAGTATTCATCTGCATTTTCAAAGGGATGCAATAGGGTGGATGGACCAAAAATATCGTCGCATTCAGCGGGGAAAATATGATTTTTCATGGGAAATGCGAAAGCATGCTTTAGGGATGGATTTATGATGTTTGGGACGGTGGATGGTATGGATGGCAGGGTGGGATGGATGGGATGGTGGTGGGGGGGTTTGGATCTTTTGAGACTTATGTGTGGATGATCACGATAGGAGGACGATGCTCATTTGGCGGGTATTGTGCGCATGGATGGCGGGAGATGTATTATTGCGCTATACAAATTAATGACAAAAAATGTCTATCTCAAAGAGAAGTCTTGTGAATGGCCTCCATTCTCTTTTCTCTTTCGTGACCTTTAACCTCCGGTTTTGACGGAAGTATAAATGGTCATCATTATTTCCCTAGGAAGTTCTTGGATTCTCCAGCTTTGTTACTATCTAGGAATCCGGGCTCTCGTTGGGCTTTAATATCTATCGGTGGGCAGCGAATGAATAGCAGGCTTGATGATGATGACATACACTATCTAGTATCCACAAAAAGTCTCGAACCGGAGTGGGGTATTCCTCGCAATGTTCTCAGTCCATTCCAAGCGAGTGTGCCAGGGAGGTTTAAGAGAACGTTTTCTTCTATTATATAAATAGTCAGCGGATAAACACCCTTCTCTCTGAGTCTTTCATCCTCGTCTCGCGAATCAGCTGAACTGGGGGGATGTTTGCCACAGTGCCACTATGTTTGAGTTGGTTTTGAGAAGTCGACGTTCTTCTGAAACCTGTCTTCGCTGGCTCATGGAGCTTTGGCTAAGCAGATTTGCCAAGGATGTTGAGCTCTCGTAAGTGACTGTCCTTCATACTCGTGCTATATATCTTCTTGATCTAATGGAATGCAACCCCTTATGCTCCTCAGACTCTGCTCTTACATTTCCTCAAGCACAATGATTCCACTTGTTCCTTGATGGGAAGAACACCAGGATGAGAACCAGACTATTCGCTATCTGCTTAAACGGCTCCGCGCTTGAGAAGTACAAGGCCATGCATGGTTGGCTAGATACTTTTGATATTACGAGTATTTCTGTACTTCTCATTGGGACCCTTGTGAAGCTTTTTTCAGCGAGAGAAATGGAATCTGAGTTTCTGATATTATCTTATCTTATTGTTCAGCTAGTCTTTTTGGCGTCCCTATGTGGATTACAATTTCAGTTTAACCTCTTAGTTGAGATGCCATATTTTGAGACCTTTGAATCTCATTGAAATGAATTCTCTGCTCCAAAGAAATGTTTGGATGAATTGGGATTGCAGTGCTTCGCCTGAGCAAGCTTAATTAGCAGAAGTGGGGCTTGCAGGAAGGCTGTTACTTATGGAGCATGAATGGAAATTGCAATGATCTAAGGGATTAAACAGAAATATTAGCCGCCGAATATCAAAATTGGACGAAAGATCAGTGAAAGATATATTGGTGTTTTCTGTGACCATAATGAGCAGTTCTCGCTGACTGGAGCTACACATACTCTACAAGTAGAACCCTGACCCTGAACCCCTGTAGTTGTGGATCACGTGAATAGTGGATATCCCGGCGCGTGTTCTGCTGAAAGGTCGCGAGTTTTAACAAGCACTTAACGCGATCACCTACATAACCTCAGTGAATCAATCCAAGCTTCTCCATAAGTTAAAGAATCTAGCTTAATACCCAAGATGTCTCTGTAAGCGCCACAAAGCTCCACCACCCCGCGACTACGCAAACCCTCACTTTGATGCGAATGATGGCTAACAGAACGGGAAACTTTAGGGAAAGCTTCGAAGGCATTTACCTTGATCTATCAAAGGACTCAGGAAAATGTCGTTTCGCAGAGTCAGGAGTAGGTTGGAAGCCTTCAGGCGGTGGTGATACCTTCACTCTGGATGGCGGAAATATCGGAGGCGCGCAATGGAGCAGAGCAGCAAGAGGCTATGAAGTCAAGATCCTCCTTAGGAACTCTGGTGTTGTTCAACTCGATGGATTTGCCCAAGAAGTGAGCTTTCTTCCTTCGATCACTGGTGTTGCCCTAACAAAAGTAGGATTTTGAACGATTAAGCAAAACCTTCAAGAACTTCTACAGCACAAATCTCGAACAAAAGGAGCATTCTCTTCGTGGATGGAATTGGGGCAAAGGCGAGTTTGGCAAGGCTGAGTTGGCATTCAATGTACAGAACCGACCAGCATTTGAGATTCCATACACCGAAATTACAAACACCAACTTGGCAGGCAAAAATGAGGTTGCTGTTGAGTTTGCCTTGTCTGCGAATGGTGATAAGCCTGGAAAGGGAAAGAGAGCTGGCGCTGGAGGAGATCAACTTGTCGAAATGAGACTCTATATTCCCGGTGTTACTACGAAAAAGGAGGCTCTAGAGGGTGAGGATGCGCCGAGTGATGCTGAAGGAGAAGAGGAACAGAATGCTGCAAATCTATTCTACGACACTCTCATGGACAAGGCAGAAATTGGAGAGGTTGCCGGTGACACTTTTGCGACATTTCTTGATGTTCTACATCTCACTCCTAGGTATGTGTTCCCTCCATTAGCAATGTTACCAATATGTACTAACACCAAGCAGAGGACGTTTCGATATCGATATGTACGAGACCTCATTCCGATTGCGTGGCAAAACATACGATTACAAAATCCAGTTTGATCATGTCAAGAAGTTTATGGCTCTACCAAAGCCCGACGAGCAACACCATATGATATGTATTGGTCTTGATCCACCACTAAGACAGGGTCAGACAAGATACCCATTTTTGGTCATGCAATTTAAGGGTGACGAAGAAGTGACTATCGACTTGAATATGACCGATGAGCTATTGGAAGGCAAATATAACGGCAAACTCTTGCCACGTTACGAGCAACCTTTACACAAAGTGGTCGCGGCCGTTTTCCATGGTCTGACCCAGAAGAAGATCAATACACCTGCTAAGACTTTCTTAAGGTATGTCGGACTTCCTTCATGATTTTTGATGCAACTAACGCAATATAGTCACCATTCACAATTTGGTATCAAGTGCTCTATCAAAGCCAGCGAAGGTTTCCTTTATTGTCTCGAAAAGGCATTTATGTTTGTTCCCAAACCAGCAACTTATATCGGCTTCGAGCAAATCAAGACAGTTGTTTTCTCCCGTGTCGGTGGAGCTGTATCAGCAAGTCGAACATTCGATATTACAGTCAAAATGAAGGAAGGTGGTGAATCACAATTTTCAAATATCAACCGTGAGGAGCAAAGAAACCTCGAGACCTTCTTCAATTCCAAGGGCTTGAGAGTTAAGAATGAAATGGACGAGGACAATACTGCAATTCTACAGGCCGCTCTTAGGGCTGAGGAGTTGGCCAGCAGCGACGAAGAAGTTGTCGCTGCACGAGCGGACAGAGGCAGCGCAGCTGAGGACAGCGAAAGCGATGACGAAGACTTCAAGTCTGATAGCGAAAGTGATGTTGCTGAGGAGTATGATTCCAATCATGAGAGTTCTGGCAGTGACGAAGAGGAAGAAGGTGGACAGAGTGATGCTGAGGAGGAGAGACCGAAGAAGAAGGCAAAGACAGGATAAATTCTAACGGATGATGGAAAATTGCATATTTGGCGTTTGGGGAAAATGGGGCTGCGCAAAGTCTTCAATGACCAAGTGTTTCCGAAGAATAAGTTAATATGTTACTTTATACCACGATTTGCACCAAATCTTAAGATTCTCATAGGCCTCGGAGCTACATGTTGCTTTGGTAACTTTCTCGTGAACACTCAGATTTTGTGTGGATACTCTATCTTCCTTTCTAGGAACGTGAGCTGTTTTTTTTTAAATACAGGACATGCCATGCTGATGTGTTGTCGCGAACAGGCGAATCAATGCGAGCTGTTGCGAGGGGATGACCAGCCGCAATTTTTGAGAATTTAACCTGCCCTATCGAAGATCGTCATGGTGATCTCGTATTCCTATTTATGGGGAATCGGGATCGGTTCCCCAGCCACACACAGTCCACCAGGCCCTTGCTGACAACGATCTTACTTTCGACACCAAAACTACTTTGATGGTTCCTCTCAAGAGCCCCATAGTGCCCGTATCCCTCTCTGAAGGTTATTGGTCGAGAGTTTTCACGTGCCTAGGTACGAAGTAGATCCCGCAACGTTGCTGCCGTTACGGCAGTACTTGAGGCTGCGATGTTCTTTTTGGTTCCTGGCAATACGAGGTTCTGTGGGTTGTGATGAGGTTATGACGTCTGAGAGGGGAAGCGAAACGGGACTTCTCCTCGTGTATGCTTGGTAGCTGTTGCGGGGAATCGGGAAAGGCGTTGCGTTGCGATGGCGGGGTATTGTTTGAAGATATATATATAAAGAGAAGTACTCCTCATTATCAAAAGCATCTATCAACATCTATACACATATCTCTATCTCTCTACCAAAGTTTTCTACTCAAATCAAACCCCATTCCCTCTTACAAAACACCCCAAAAAACATCCAACATGCAATTCTCAACCTCCCTCCTCGCCGCAACAGCAGCACTCATCACCACCGTCACTGCAGACGGCGTCTTCGGAATCAGCGCAACAACAGTAGCCTCCTCCCCCATCAGCATCACCCTCGCCGTCTACAACGGGCTCGTCGGCGATCCAGCAACCTGCCAAGGCACCGTCCAAGTCGCTTCTTTGCCAGCCAGTGGCACCATCCCATGCACCAACGCGGGCTTCTCTCTCTCCTTCACCTGGGCCGACTATGCTCAGGGGATTCAAGCAACTTATGCCACACCAACTTCTCCGGCTTTCACATACAATGTTCCAAGGACTGGATGTGATGCTGCGCAGCCTCAGACTTGCACGTTTGGATTTCAGAATATCTTTCCTGGTGTCACGGCGGTGGCTTTCAGGGCTTAGGGGCGGGAGCTGGGCGGTTATGGGAAGGAAGGAATGATGAATTATGGGATTGTGGTTGGTGGGTTGTAATGGGTTGATTTTGTGTTTTGGTTCTTGGCTTGGTTACGCGAGCTTTGCATGATGGTGGGGGAAAGGTTGGGGCAAAATATGGTTTGCTGGATTCTAATTATTATCGAAATAATGTCACATTCTTTATTAGTAATTTATTACTTACAATTGAGTTACAAAAATCACATGCATATTAATCTCATGTTGAAGCTTATGATTTTGAGTGACTACCGAGTTTGCGTATTGATGAGCTAACAGTATTTACGATACGTTCGCTTATCTGGTGCTATAAAATCAACGGTACTTGACTTATGTTTCCGTGTCCCAGTGCATATTGTATGCTCAGAAGTGTCTCCTTACTCCTACCTCCTCTCAGATATAGTCACTTGCGACCCACTATGTAAAGTATGTCCTAAGATTATAGGCGAACTCGCCTAAATAAAGTCTTTCCATCCTTCCAGGTGGCTTTCGTTCTTCTACTCCCCACACATAAGTGAAGTGATTATTCCAAAACTTTAGAATAATCCCCCAAACCCCTTTTCCTGGGATGAGGCTGTTCTAGTCCTTTGGGTTAAAAGCGGAGATATATAGTTTTTATATATTGTAGATCAATCAAGGGACATCTGCATCGTATACTACCGCGAGACAACGCTATGTGATTCTTCCACATAATTGCATACACAGTATGAACTTTTCACATATCCCTCAGACGTCATCCGTATATGTGGTATCATTTTTGGCTATACCGTTCTCGATGGGCTCCGATTTCTCTATAGACTTTTTGGACGTTGAGGATTCAGTCAAGGAGCATGGTGGAGGATGATTCTTAGTTCTGTCTCTAGCATTATGGTAATTTAAGAATAAGGGTCTTGGAAGCCAACCAACTTGCCAGCCAACCCTAAGCGAGAACCATGAGCTTGTTCTGTGTTGATGTTAGCCAATAGATATTGCTGAGTTATCTGAGCGGTCAAAATTGCCAAAGAGCACCAAAACCACATGTAGAACAAATAAACGTGAATAGTGGTATCATCAAAATATTATTTGTCTATACTACAACACAAATGGTAAGACCTCACAAGACAAGCCTTCCAGGCTCTCCTTCCAAGACGGTCTTTACTCTGTCAAGGAAAACTTGAGCTCTCTTCTCATCGCCTTTTGGTACCTTGACGCTGAAAACATTGACAGATGCAGATATTCCTGGCTTGGCAGAGTACGTAGGGACCTTTCGTCTCGTGGTTCCAGAGAGGATATCAATGATATCTGCACTCTTGGCTGCCGATTTTGTACCCTTCGTTGGAGCTGTTCCGGGAAGTGCTGTGATTTGAGGTAAGAAGTTGCCTCTGGCACCACCTGCACTTGGAACCTTGTTGAGGCCTAGGACCTGGTTGAATAAATCATCTGAAGATGGCTTGTATGTTTTAGATCGTGGTAATTCGTCGTTGGCGACATCTGTAGCTCGAGCAATGAAAGTAGATAGTGGCATGAAAACCCCCAATGTCTTTTGAATTCGTTGTTGGACTTCAATGACTTGAGCCATGGAAATTGGAATAGCAACTTCAAGGTCCTTTTCAACCGCTGGCCCTGGAACTGCTTCGGCCTTCTTCGCTGGTTTTGGTGCAGGTGCAGCGAGTTTGATATTGCTGAGGTCCAGATGGCTGAGCTTCGCAATCTTGCTAGAGAGTTCTGAGGGGTAGGAATCAGAAATCGAGCCCAGATATGCAAGTACATCACCCTTTAGCAGTCTGTTATTTGGTCCACTTGGTGACATTTTGTCAATATCTGATTGTTCGAGTCCCTTCTGGTGGATTAAAGCTTGAACTGATGGTAGGAGAGGCTTTGTCTGTTTCTTTGCCGGCTTGGAGGACTTCGTCGAGGAAGCGGATTTGGAAGACTTTGCGGGAGCTTCTGCCTTGGGCTCGGAGAGCTTTTGGCTCGATGTTTCCTTCTTTGACGATGGGGCAGCATCCGCTTCGGAGGGCATCTCCAAGCTGCCAAGGTCGTCTCCAACTTCTGCTATAACCCCAATTTGTGTTCCAACGGGAATTCCCTTTGATCCATCTGCCTTCGTTATCTTTGCCATGACTCCATCATCCTGAGCCTCCACATCCATGGACGCCTTGTCGGTTTCAATCTCCAAGAGCACATCCCCCGCTGAGAAAGAGTCCCCCTCCTTCACTTTCCAACTAGCAATATTTCCCTCCGTCATGGTAGGTGACAGGGCAGGCATCGTGAAGTTCTGCGCAGCCATTGAGGCCGCCGATGTTCGGAAGCCTGTTCCAATGTCAGTAATCCCCAATAATTTCTTCCGGGGAACAGCGCACCTCGAGCAGCCGCATCCTGTCGCAATTGCCGAGTTGTGAGTCTTGCCGAAAGGTGGCAAGCTTTCGCAAACGATGCCATCTTGACTGTGAAGAACTGGTGCTCAATTGAGCTGTGTGCGTGGTTGAGAAAGCCCTTTAAAGATAGTCAAAAGATCGTTGGGACACTGAAATGGCGGGCCCACCCTAGCGATACTGGTCCCCGAACGCCGACCTCTGACCTCACGACTAGTTTTTGCTTGCGATACCCGTACGAGCGAGTACCTACCTAGGTATAGTCCAGTGGAACTTTCAAGGTTAGCAACTCTAAGGGGAGTTGAAATGGTAGCATTCCAATACTAATATTATTAATGCCAGATGTCGGCCTTCTCCAGAGGATTTCTTCTCCAGCACCGTCTCTTTGCAAGGCCAGTACAGGCGCAATCACCCCAGCTAAACGGCCGCCAACCTCGATTCTTCACGAGCTCCCAATTCCTCTGCGCAAAAACCAACCCTCCTAGCGTACCTAGAAGAGGAGCTACACCATTGAAATCAACCGTTCCTAAGAAGGCGTCCGGCGGACTTCCCCGCAAAGATGCTGCAATCTTGAAGCCCTCGAAGCTTCCCATAGTTCAAAATTCCCCCAATGCCGCCCCAACGAAAACCCTCGAGTTGTCCAGAAGGAACCCCATATTGTATGCCGAATCTCTGGCCCAAAAATCTGACCCATCAATAATCTATACCGCCCCATCCCACACACGTCTCTTCTTTTTATGTTCCGCAGCGGCAGCTGGTATTATGGCTCAAGCGGCCTACTGCATACACATCTATCTTCTCCCACCCGATGGCCTAGCCTGGTTCGTACCCTACTCCTTTGGCATAGGGGGAATGATTGGAGCAGGTCTTGGAACATGGTTGATGTTGAGCACATCGGGAATCATCAGGCAAATCACCGCAATCCCCAAAAAGGCCATGAGCACATCGCCAGTTGTGAAGAGGGCGCAAACCCACAATTTGGAGCTCGAAGTTGAATTCCGGAAAATGCTGCCCGTCCCATTTTTCCCAGCAAGGAAGATATATATCTCTCCCAGCGAATTTGGACTACACCACCCCGTAGCTCCACAAATGCAAGCCGAGCGGTTTGCATATGAGGAAAGTCGGAAGTATGGAGCGGTCTCGCGAGCATTGCAGGGCCTTTGGAAAGATAGCAAGAGAGCTTGGACGAGAGATGGCTTTGAGAAGGTAAGAATAAACTCAAGGACCTATAAGTTAGATGTGACTGGGGAACAGTCTCCGGACGTTGGACATGCTATAGATAAGCTGGCCGACATTTACCGGAAACGTTGATGGCTGTACGATTTCGCTTGTAAGATATTGTAAACAGTCTAGGAAAGCTGTAAAGCATCCCAATTGCATCTATTGTCCTTCAATGCCGTCTGCAATTACAAAGCTGATGCCAAAGACGTAAGATACTTGAACCATTATCTTCTATTACGTTTTTGGGCGCAGTGACCATGAACTTCAAAAGTGCGACCTTGAATGACAATTCGGCAAGATCACTTCTCAACGTTGTATTGAGACTTCGTTGTTTCTCGCCGCCATAGGGGAAGAGTTTATTAATGAGATTTATTCTAGATGCAGAACTACAATGAGTCATGAGTTTGCTTTACTAAACCATATGAGCCCTTGGGTCCATGAAGTCAAGTTGCTCTAGGCCAAACTACTTATAATCTAGTGATATCAACCAGAGACTAATCCCTACTTGATTCTTATGCCAACCCTTATTGCTTGTTGCCTCATACGCATAAATTTACATACAATCTTCGCATTCCTTCTCCCTCTCGCCTTCCTTTGCTTTCCCAGCATTGTCAGGCTTCACGTCCTCGACGACTTTAGTGGATAAACCTTCATTACGGTTTAAATCCAGGCCTTCTATTTGGGGAACAGAATTCTCGCTTGCTTGACTAGGTAGAGCATCCAGCGGATTGGTAGATTGGAGTTGGTCATTGGGTGCTAGGGGACTTAACGGACTTGGAAGTGGTTGAGGCGTGGGGAATGGAGAATCTTGTTTTGTGGGCTGAGGAGTGGTTGATTCTGAGAACAAGACCAGTCAGTATTTGGACCACCAAAAGATAGGGTTGTTGCGGGTTTTGCACCATATCCGACTCTGATGTGGCTATGGATAGTTCACGGGACCTTTGGGATCAAAATGAGATGGGACTTACTTTTGTGTCCATCAACATGGCCTAGATTGCGGGAAGGATCGATTACATCTCTGACACGTTTCTTCAGTTCTTTCGTTTCTATATCATGACTCAAATTAGCTAAACCCATCTCCTGGAAAAGTCTTGTGGATCTTACGCTTGAGGTGAGATCGAAAAATGACTGGATGACGTAATTCAAAGCAAAGATAGTAAGGAGACACTCTTTACTGTTACTCTGGGGTCCTGAAACAAAAGCTCATATTGGAACGAGACCTAGAGGCCTAAACGATACTGTACAAATGCAAGTAGGAGAAGGAGGACAAGAGGAAGGGAAATACAGCTTCAGCCAATATAAATTCGACAAAACACACCCAATAAGAACAGACCAAAGTTTAACAGAAAGACACCAGACGCGAAAAATCCGAAATTGAAAATTTTGGAAACAGCCTTCAATATTTCAACTCAACAGGAATGCTTACCGGAGGATTATAGTTCAGCAAAATCCAGAAGAAACAACGTCCCTATGCTGATTTCAACGATAGCGATCATGACTTCATCAGACGGGCAAATGAGAAATGCAAACGTGTTAAACATCCTGCAGAAGGCACCAGGCCTAGACTTGAATATATACCTAGCTTTCAAGCACCCACTCGGGTTGCTATGTGCCCACTGGACAGTAAATACAACGAAAAAGGAATATAAACGATGGTAGCAAGCAAAATCCTCAGTGAAGTGAGTGCAATGGTACGATATCTTGACGACAAACGTACCTGGGAATCCCCCTTCGGCCTTCCTATCCCAAAGCAGAGTTTTCTGGACCGTAACGGATAGTTCACCATTACTGGCCGGAGCACCGTGATACAAATGAACAATAAATGTGCCCCCCGTGGACGGTTGCAGCGCAACTTCGCCTAGAGACGTTCCAAAGGTGGAGAGGAGTTCTTGAGCGAACTGGACCAAAGCGTTAGCAAGCTTTTAAATAGATGCCATTGCACACAACATGTACCAGGAAGGGGATATAAATATCATCACGTGTGTTTGAAAACGTCCTGTCGCACCTCCAGCTGTCCTGTTTGCTTGACGGTGCAGGCATAAGACTGCGGGGAGGAGAGGCGCAATACTTTGCTTCAGTTGAAACATCACCTTGTTGGAGGGAAGGCATAAAGATTGGCTGAGAAGAGGGGTGCGGATGGTTTCGATAAGAGAGATCTTCACTTACATAGGCTGCTCTTAGCATCCATTTACATTGTGTACAGAATTGAATGGTAATTCGGGGTAATAATGGCGATGTCTCCATGATTTTGGGTGTTTGATTTGCTTGGGCTGGCTCGTTGTGCCTGTTGAATATGGTGTGGCCCTAGCTCCGTGGGGCCCAGGGAGCTCCTTGAATTCGTGGATATAAGTTGTGCTCAATATATCGTACGAATGGAAGTCACTTCAGTGTCAAATGTATATGGGAACGTTCGTATAGGAGATGAGCGCGCTGGCAATATCCGGGATCTAGGTCAATTGGGAGCTGGCGTCGTCTCCAGCTGGCTGGAACCCACCTACCGGATGTATCGAACGTTCAGGGTCTCACCAACATAAGAACAGAAGCAGGTGTTCAAAACGTGTAATAAAGTCGTATCGAATGCCCTCATCAATCCTAATCGTAACCTTATACACAACGAAGTGAAACAACTACTGCACAAACTCAGATATTACATGCCACCCGCAACCGCAGTCTCCAATATGACCGCCTACCCGCTGATGCTTCGATGCCGACGAAGGTATTATTTTATCGCAGACTACCCAGTACTCCTAACGCCATTGAATGTGATCTCCTTCCAACCGTCTCACCCCTTCGCAATTTTCTACATGACGGCACAGCATCCACCGCTTTGCTGAGGAGCATACGGATCTTCCCTTCGGTCGACTGTTCCCCAAACGGATGGAACCATGAAATCCTTGGTGCTGTTGGTGTAGGAGATGATGCTGCGACCGGTTAGTACATTGCGTTTTCGTGACCAAGCGGCTGCCCCGTATAGTAAGTAGTAGCTCACCTTTTCGCGGCTTGGGAGACGGGGATTCGTTCGCGTTCCAAATCTTCTCGCAGGCGGTTGTTCAATTCGGTAAGACGACGAAGCTTCAGATCGGCCATTGACTGTTTGTTCTTCTTGATCTGAGATGGGTCGCCGACATCGCGGGAGGAGTATCCGGCAGGCATCATGGAGACTTTAGGAATCGAAGTTCGATGTCCCGGGTGGTCAGCTCTTCTGCGTACGCTACGTTAGCAAACTGCGCCTGTACGCGTGAATAGCGCCCGTCGGATCCTACCAGATAGGAGATGCGGTGCGATGAGGGTTGGGATTGAGCTCTTGGGCTCAACGAAGGGCGTTGAAGAGGTTATCGCGACGATTGAGAGTTGTTCGTCGATGGTTTGAGGAGGTTGCTTGTGCTTTGCAAATTGGGACGGTCTGAGTTCAGAATTGAGATTACCCTCTCGGTTGCAGGTGGGTAAGGGAGGGAGACAGCGGAGTGGACCGTGAGCTCTCACCATTTGGGGGGGACCGGGCAGGCGAGGCAGGCAGGCTGGAAGAATGCCGGGAGCGAGCACCACAATGGGGGAAGAGCACCCGACCCCGACGCTGCGGAAAGTCAAAGCGGCGATCGCTCTCTCTCCGACGATGCTTCTGAGATCCACGGGACGGCGCTCACGGCGCTCATGTGAGAACCACCACCAGCCACCGTAAATGGAACTGTTTGGTATAAATTGTGCGGCACGCCTCGAGCTGCAATATGAAAGCCTGCCTACGAATACCACTGTATTCGCGTGATTGATTTTTTGCGGAATTTTTGTAAGCCTTCAAGGTTGACAAGAAACGATGGCAGAACTTTATATATACCTCGCTGCCGCTAAAAGTTTAGAGGCACTTAAGAGTTCGCATCTGATCCACAGATCTCGTAGGAGAAGGAGAGATTCACTCTCTCGCCGCTTTTACGGCACCCACTAGCTCCCAATGAGGTCTAGCCCCGTTTCCCCTCGGCTGTGGAATTTGAAAACCACACAAACCGTTGACGCTGGGCAAATCGTTCGTACGTGGAATCCTCACACTCGACTTCCTGCCACCCCGCGCATCAGGCATCAGGTCGACTTGCGCTTTCCCATCGCCTGCCGGCGCACGAATATTTGCTCGCCCATCAAGCTCGCTACCTGCGACCCAAAGGGAGTGGTCCATCATGCCGCCTCCCCCCCATCAAAAGCCCGAGAATGTCTTAAAGCGCGCTCACGAGCTTATGGGTGTTGGGCAGGCTACCGCCGCCCTCACCCTGCTCCACGAGCACATTATCTCGAAGCGATCGCGCAATGTTCCTATTACGTCGTTGGAGCCGGTGATGCTCCTGTTGGTGGAGCAGTCGGTGGAACAAAAGAAAGGAAAACTCGCAAAGGATGCTTTATACCAATACAAGAACATCAGTCAAAACACCAACGTGGGCACCATCGAGGTGAGATTCAACCGTGCTGTATCCAACTTGCAATAAAAAAAACTGACAATGTCGTCATAGCTTGTTCTCAAGAAATTCATCGAATTGGCGGAGGAAAAAGTCAAGACCGCACAAGCTAAGGCAGACGAAGTTCAATCGTCCCTCGAAACCAGCAACGCAACTGCGAGTGTCGACGATCTCGAAGCTAGTGAAACACCTGAGTCTATTCTTCTATCAACCGTATCTGGCGAACAGTCTCGAGATCGAACAGATCGAGCAATTGTCACACCATGGCTCAAATTTCTCTGGGAGACCTACAGAACCGTCCTCGATATTCTCAGAAATAATGCCCGCTTGGAGATAATGTACCAGAGCACGGCTATGCAAGCATTCGAGTTTTGTCAAAAATACACACGAAAGACCGAGTTCCGTCGTCTTTGTGAACTTCTCAGAAACCATGTTCAGACTGCTGCAAAATACTCTGCTCAGATGCACGCCATCAACCTGAACGACCCAGATACACTTCAACGCCATCTCGAGACCCGTTTTCAACAGTTGAATGTGGCAGTTGAGCTTGAGTTGTGGCAGGAGGCTTTCCGAAGTGTTGAGGATATCCACACCTTACTCAACCTCAGCAAGCGACCACCAAAGAACATTATGATGGCAAACTACTATGAGAAGCTGACTCGAATTTTCTTGGTTGGTGAGAACTACTTGTTCCACGCCGCAGCATGGTCACGATACTATAATCTCCTTCGCCAGTCTGCATCTATGGTTGCTGCAGGTCAAAGCAAGAAAGCAGATAACCCAGCTACATCAGAGGCGGATCTTTCCAAAGCTGCCTCCTTTGTCTTGCTATCAGCTCTCGCCATTCCAGTTATTAGCACATCAAGATCCCGAGGTGCTCTTATCGACATCGATGAAGCAAAGAAAAACAAGAACTCTCGGCTGACTCACCTGCTCGGTATGGCCCAGGCACCAACTCGTGCCGTCCTTTTCCGAGATGCAATGAGCAAGGGTCTTCTCAAGCGAGCCCGCCCTGAGATTCGTGAGCTCTACAATATCCTCGAGGTTGACTTCCATCCCCTTTCTATCTGCAACAAGATTTCGGGTATCTTGCAAAAGATCGGTGATGATGCTGAGATGGAGAAATATGTTCTTCCCCTCCAGCAAGTCATTCTCACCAGACTTTTCCAGCAATTGTCGCAAGTGTACGAAACTGTTGATCTTGCATTTGTTGAGAATCTTGCTCAATTCCCTGCCCCATTTCAAGTCTTCAGGGATACCATCGAGAAGTTCATCATGAACGGGAACAAGAAGGGTGACCTTGCTATTCGTATGGATCACGCCACTGGTGTTCTTAGCTTCGATACCGATGTCTTCTCTTCAACCAAGGCTATCAATGCTGGAACAAGTACTGGATCCGCTGAGAGCGAAACTTCCTCCGTACAAAGACTCCAAAACACCCCTTCAGAAATTGTCCGCACACAACTGAACAGATTGGCCAAATCTCTTTACGTCACATGCCAATATATCGATCCCTCATTCAATGAAGCCAGAATTAAAGCCCGAGATGCAGCCTACGCTAGAGCTAAGGCTGGTTCCGATCAAGAGCACCGCGAGACCTTGGCACGCAAGGAAATCATTGCCAAGCGTAAAGAGGAGGCTTCCCAAATCCAAGCAGCAAAGGAGAAGGAAGATGCCACCCGCAAACGTATCAAGGCCGCACAACTTGAAGAGGCCGAGAAGGTTCGACTCGCTAAAGATATCAAGGACCGCGAAGAGAAGCGCATGAAGGCTGAGTTGGAGCGTGTCCGTCTAGAGGAAATCAAGAAGGAAATCGCTGCTCTCAAGATTGGCCCCAAAGCGATTGACATTGATGTTGAAGACTTGGAGAATCTTGACAGCAACCGTCTCCGTGCCATGAAGCTTGCCCAACTTGAGCGTGAGAAGAACGACATCAACGAAAAGATGAGAATCACTGCCAAGAGAATCGACCATCTTGAGAGAGCCTTCCGCAAGGAAGAAGCCAAGAAGTTGCCTGAAGATTACGCGCAGCAACGCGAGGCAGATTTGGCCGCATATGAGAAGATCAAGGCCCAGACACTGAAGGACGCAGAGGCTAAGCACAAGGAGAACGTAGAGTTGAAGCACAGACTGACACGTTTGGTCCCATTCTATGAGGATTTCAAGAAGTCGGTCGTTGAGCGAAGACACGACGAATTCGAGAAGCGTCGCCGTGATGCGGAGAAGGAGCTGGAGAAGCAAATTGCTGCGAGAAGAAAGGAATTTAGAGAACGTAAGGCGCGTGAGAAACGTGAGCTTGCCGAACAAGACCGTATCTTACGTGAGGAAGAGGAGCGTGCTGCTAGGGAAGCAGAGGAGAAGGCTGAGAGAGAAGAGAGAAAGCGTGCCGAAAGAGAAGAGAAGATGGCTCTTCGTGAGAAGGAGAGGCAAGAAACCGCAGAGAGAATGGCCCGCCAAGAGCGTATTGCAGAAGAAGCTCTCAAGCGCAAGGCTGCTGAGAAGGCCGCCGGATCCTCGTTGCCATCTCGTGGAGTACCAATGGATCGAACGGCATCAGGCTCTGGTCCTGGTGCTGGTGTTCGTCCACCTCTTCCTCTTGCCGGTGCTAAGATGGGTTGGAGAGAGAAGGAGAAGCTCAAACTTGAGGGCAAGGAAGTGCCTTCCACTCGAACCGAGTCACCCGCCGCTCGTGCTTCCCCTGTGAGTCGCTCAGTACCAATGGACCGAGTGGATTCCAACGAGCGACCAGTCGAACGAGGACCACCTCGTATCGCTCTTGCTGGTGGCAAACCTTCATGGAGAGATAGAGAAGCTGCAAAGGCCAGTGGCGGTGGTGAGTCGAACGCTCCCCCTCAATCCCGTGCTCCACCAGCAATGGCAAGAGATCGATCGGGACGTGGTGAAGAGGAGCGAGGCGGATCACCTGCCTCTGGGCCCTCTGGTGATGGTCTGAAGCCAAGCGGGGCAACTGGAAAGTTTGTTCCTCCTCATTTGCGCAATAAGTGATTTCTGGGTGGGCGGGTTTGCATATTTTGATCTCGGACAGAGTAACATTTGTAATTAGTATGGCGTTTGAGGCTTCATGATCGTTAGATTGCTATCTCAGCAGGAATCTTAGCGGGTTGATGAACAAAAGAAATGAAGAAGAAATGACAAATAAAAGTTGAAAACACGCCAGATTTTCAGTGTATGTAAAACCTTTAGTGCTATATCTCCATGATAATAATGTCAATCCGTTTCCATGTGCAGCCAGCCAGATTCTCAGGCCTTTACGGTGACAGACTGTAATATATGACTACTGTACAGAGACTGGGAGTCGGCTTCATTTAATCCCAGGTGAGGACCATTAGGCTCCAGCGTTTCTCATTCCGGTCCTAAACCTTCGGCGATTCAGAGCAGAGAGTGCTTTTGCTCTTTTTCGTCTTTACTTGTATCCAAATTTCCCAATGGCAGTCAAGCAGCTTAAAGACTGACATAATCTTAATTCAACAATTGAATGGGGACAAAAGTACTATAAACGATATGGGCGAATGTGAAAATATTTCTGGTAAGAGAGGCGAGTATTGCTCTATACACGTTATCAAAAGTTATTATATTAAAAGTCTCGCACAAGTAATTCAATTGTCCTATTTCACCTAGTATAATAAGAATTGAAAAGTAAGAATTGTTCTAAACTATTTGTATAATTGATTTAGTTGTGTGAGGTCTTTAGGATAATATTATGTAACTCAGGTGTGTACAGAGTAATGCCCGCCTCTCTGACATTTGACTCTATAGTGTTGGAACTTGGAGCTAGGAGTGTAGTTAATGTTAAATACGCACGTACTTGCTTGAAACTTTTCATTTCTTCTAAGTTCTTAGGGATAGATTGGTAATCTTTATCATTGTCTCATATTGATGAGTAACTTTGCCAGCTTCAGGGTGCTATTTTCTTCGAGGTTTGGGGATAATCAGAGATAGGAAGGTAGGTAACGTTTCTTCGGATGATATGTGCTATTTACTGTGTGCGAAATTTGTTGGGTAGAGTAAAGTACTACTCGTATGCTACGCGCTAAGTGAGTTGGTCTCAGCCTAGGTACTAATAGTCCTAAGGTAGTAAGAAGTTTGGTTTTCTAGTAGACAGGAAAGTGGTAGAGGTTCTTGCTAATAAACTTAATGTGATAAAGTATTTCCAAGAACCTCTATATAGTATACCCTTACTACTTACTCGTGTAGTATTTCTTTTCTTGAGCTGCATACTAATTATTTCTATTTCCCAATAATCTGGTACAATTTGAAATACCTATAAGTCTAATTACCTCTGGATTAATTTTTCTAATTTTACAAGCGAGGGAGAATAAGATGAAAATTTTCACTGCTGCATTTCTTCTCTATCTCAAATTCGACCATGAAGGTGAAAACAAGAATGCCCAGCCCATAATCCGAGAGAGGGAAAGGCGTGCTTGTGATGGATAGAATTGGAGGTACGGAGTATAGAGAGAGAGAGATTCAGTAGGCTGTAGCAGCGTAATATAGTTTTGAAGAAGCTTGTGCTGGCACACAGTCTGTGGCGAAGAAGGTTGTGAGGGGAGAGATACCATGACGTCAAGGAATATGGAGTGGATAGAACCTCGTGTCACTCTTAAATCTCATCATCTTGATGAGGCAAAATCAAACGAGATTCTGAGTATTCGTGTTCTCCGTTCTGATATAACCACAAGAGAAAACCCCGGAGAACAAACTAGCAAAGCTTTGATAGTATAACGGGCACATTTCTCTCCATAGCCTCCGAATGAGAAACTAAGAATGGGATTCATCACCAACACAAAGGTAGAGTATAATCTCGAGCAGCATGAATAATCAGGTGGTACCGCTGACGTCGATCTTCTCCTCTTTTTCATCTTGTGCAATGCCCTTGTGCAGCTCTGGTGTGAGGCGGGAGATCTTCGATTGTATCCGACATCCCGGGAACCGGCGTGGGTACTGCAACATGGAGCGTGATGTTTTTGTGCAAGGGAAATCCGGCTGCCTAATGGCCGCGGGACTTTAAAGTTGACAGACGGCCTTTTCTGGTATAGATAAGGATCGAGAAGGATGAATATTGAATTTCTTGCACGACCAAGCAAATCAATATTCTTTTTTGTGATAGAGAGATACGCTTCTCTCCACAAGCTATTATCTATTGCTCACCGAGAGTTGCTGGCCCCCAATTTATATGACGGATCAGAAACCGCGACGAGTCTGAGAGATAACTTCTTCCCCGCAAATTACAGTGTGATTAAATGTGTGTAAAGGTTAAGCTTTTCAGGAGTACAAAGCTGATGAGGCGTTTTCGATCGAAGAAATACGAGTGGGCACTCTGAGACAAGAACGGAAATGGTGATCGGTGGTTGTGTTCACCTTATGTGTAAAGCACCGAGGAAAAGGCTAGAGTTTACTCATGTGGCTGCAATTCGAAGGAATTGATACCTCAGTAATCTGTAGAAGGACTAAATGTATGAAGCTGAAGCTGAAGGTATTTGACCGACCATGAACATGTTAACTGCAACCTGCATATTGTCGGGAATCTCCTAGATAATGTCATTGTGACCATCCGAATTCGTGGTGCTAGTGGCCCAACAAGAGGAACTGTCAGAAGTCTGTGGTTTTCCGGGGTATGAGTACCTAAATATGTGTCTTACAAAGTCTCGAAACGAATGGTACAGTTGTGATGGTATGGTGGCCACTCGATAATTTGCACACTGCGTACTTACGTGTATGGTTGCAGTATGATGGTGCATAAACATCGCTAAGAACGATACGAAGGGTGATTCTGAATGGATCCTGTTGTAGATTGTAACCTCAGTGAATGGAAATAGCATAATGACCAGGAATTGTCAGGATTGTGGCCTGATCTTTCTCTTAACTCTTTCTTTTTTGAAATTTGGTGGACGAGAAGGACAAGGGAAGCAAAGAGAAGAGAAAATAGTGATGCTTGAGGGAAAATGCAAGTAAAATTCGTATTGGTAGGATATGAACGAAACAATGTGCAATATTGTTGTAAGTCCGAATCCGTAGAAAACTTGGACCCCTAAGACCCAAAAGAGACAGAGAAGAAAACACCGGTATTGGCAAGTGGCCGAAAACATCTAGAAGCATGGAATAACGCGCATAAGCGGCTCCAGTAACCATGTCCGGAAAGACCTAGATTTGCCCAAGTGAAATGTAATTGTGGTTCACGAAATGGTCTCGAACAACTGGATCGATTATACTATCGCTTTCAAATGATTTTGTGTTTTCTCATCGCGAGATCTTGTCGAAGTTTCGCAGACACAGTCCCTTCTTTGGCAGGCCTTCCATCCAGATGAGAACTCAGCACAACATCGGCTCATCCGTGCCATCCTTGAACCCGGCCTCGGCCAGGACCCCTGAACGACTAAGTGGGTAAGCGAGCTCGGCGAGGTTGCACTTGTACCCTATTTGGACGAATACCTTTTCATTCCCAATTCATGGCGCTGCGAGTGTAACCATCTTGTCGAACTCCTCATCAAACTAACCTGGTGCAATAGGGCTCTACAACGATGACCCTCGCAGTAGAGTTGCCCTCTTCCTTCACGGAGTCGCTAGACGAGACCTGGGGTTCTCACCTCACCTATCGACAAGATAAGGCGTGGCCTCAGCGAGCATGACGGAACATTGCTCATATATTAGAACGTGTGAGATACTCTATAATACCGCCAATGGTTGATCCTAAACACTCTGGGTATCTGGAATGGAGAGCAGTTGACCTCGATTACTCGTCAAAGAAGAAGGAGCGACATGACCCGAATCGTATTAGCGCAGACTACTCTAGTATAAACTCGGGTTTTCTTCCCCCCAATATTCCAGCTCTCTTGAATGTTCACAAAAGAAAACAAAAGAGATGAACCTCAAAATAGAGTCTCGGGCGTTGGTTATCAAAGGGTTCATGGCAATAATACAGTAAAATCACTCATAGACGCGAAAGCCCATGTTTACCGGCGTACCTATGCAGGTGCAAGCAACATCAACTGTCAGCTTGCAGACTTCCCGGAATCTAGTACCTGTACCTTGCAGCCTAGAACGCTGGGATCTTGAGGTTGCACACAGAATTCTGGAATCATCGGGGCCTTCCAGACGTATGGCAATTGCTGCTTCTCTGGCTTCTGGCTGAGAAATCCTTATGGTAACCTGACTTGCCATTGGGGGCAAAGGTTTGCTGGGCCGTGAGTGCTTTCCCTCTCTATATATTATGTCTTGCATCCCCTCTTGACTTTTGTCGGTGCATCTCAACGGTGTCCATTTCGCTTTTTGCTCTCAAAACACTCACTTTCTGGGCATTCTTCTTGAACGTCCAAATCTCCCAAAATGTTGCAACTCAAGCTAATTGCTGTTGCTTCAACCTTCCTTGCTTTTTTTTCGGGTGTCAATGCAACTCAAGGACCTGCCAAACCATCCTGTGTGGATTTCACTCCTTACGTGTACGGCGGCTGCTACCAAAACCCTTCCAATGGCCCACATACCTTGCTCTTCAACTCCGATTTGGACTCGCAGAATATGACAGTTGAAAAGTGTGTTGCTTTTTGCAAAGGCAATTCGTACAGATATGCTGGTCTCGAATATTATGGCCAATGTACGTGTGGAGCATCAGTCAATGGTATGAAGGTGGAGGAAAGTTTGTGCAGCTATCCTTGCACGGCAAACAAAAACGAGACTTGTGGTGGTTCAAATGTTGTATCAGTGTACGGAGATCCGACATTCCCTACAGTAAACATTACAGATACCTCGGATTACAAAGCGATTGGATGTTATACAGAAGGGACATCAGGTCGGTCCTTGGTTTGGCGACAGGATCAAGTTCCTTCCGGCAGCATGACAGTAAAAAAATGCCTCTCTGCTTGCAAGGTAGGAGGATATGACTTTGCTGGGTAAGGCATCCAGTCCTTGTACTGTACCTTGAGATTATCAATGACTGACGACTTATAGTGTGGAATATGCTCAAGGTAAGAAGAACCCCGCCGGGGTGCAAGAATTCTCAAGTGACAGGGGTTGGAGCCTCTACCATCTTCGATTATGATTGTTCTACAAAATCTCAATTATTCTAATTGTGTGGGTAATTGATTTTGTACGTTTTCAACTGTTCTAGAAGCGTTGAGAGAATTCTAGATGTTGAGTGCCCCTAGACTATAGTCACGAATTCTTATACCACTGGGTGCCTTCTCCAATTTCGAATTATGCTAACAAACTTCAAGAGTGCTATTGTGGTGTGGTCCTTGGGAATGGAACCGTTCCAGCGCCAGCCTCTGAATGCAGCATGAACTGCACTGGAGACTCTACCGAAAGTTGTGGTGGTCCCTCAAGATTGAATCTATTCGTCGCTTCTGATCTCGAAAGCTCGGAGCCCTGCAAGGACGGCAGTGGCCCAACAACCTCCTCAAAATCAAGTACTGGAACGTCGAGTACTGTTCCTCCCACTTCCTCAAAAACGAGCCTTAGTACCTCAACTTCTTCCTCGTATTCTACTTCGTCGTCTGATCCTACAACAACCTCGACCGCGTCCCCAACTTCTTCCTCATACTCTACTTCTTCGTCTGATCCTACAACATCCTCGAGCTCAACCTCAATCTCTTCCTCTTACTCCTCCAGTTCCACATCATCATGTACAACAACATCGTCTAGCTCTGCTTCTTCAAGTGTATATACACCTCCATATACCCCACCTACCCCACCTACCACATCATCAACTTCGACCTCGCTATCTTCGACGGCTCCAACAACAACGAGCAGGCCTACTACACCGCCATCACCTTTAACCACCACCAAAACTACCCCTTCTCTTTGCACTTCGACAACTACAATCGCTCCCGCACCAACTTGCGAGTATCAATGTGGTAACTGGTGCTCCACACCTCTTCCAGACTGGAATGATCAAGCTTCCTGCTTCAAGGCACAAGCAAACTGTATTGTGCAGGTGACTTCCTGTCTTCTCCATGCCGGGTTCCCAGCTAGTCTTGATTGTTTGAAATTTTCCGGTTGGTGTCTATCGGTTCAGTCATATTGCTTCGACTTCTGCCCTGGCAAAAATTGTCAAAAATCCGATTGCAAATCTAAATACCCGCCAAATCATCCAAACCAGCCAAACCCACCTGGTTCTGTCTCAACTTCGGTATACACTTGCCAAGCTACCAGCGCTAGCCCAACTCCCACCAAGCCTTCTCCAACGACGTCAACTGCAGTGCCGCTTCCAACAAATTCCAATATCTGTTGCCAACCGGACAACCCACCCAAGGGTTACGGCTCTTTATCCCCTGTGGGGGGTATCGCCTTACCATGCCTCACATGTAATAACCTGATGAGTGATTACAATGCTGGAAACCCATTCAAACTTTACCTTTCCAGTCAATCATCAGACTGTCCATCATACCCACGAGGAGGCCCATCCGGTCTCAATCAAGCATGCAAGGATGCTTGCGATGCCCAGTACCAAAGCTGTCAAAACACATACGCCAAAGGCTGTCAAAATAATGCTGGACCCCAGTATTCTGATTCCTATCCCGTTGCAACGAACAAGTGTTACAATCAATGGAAAGATTGTTATGCAGCAAATTCCAACGTCAATCCTTCTCCATCAAGATGTGGCAGCTGGAACTCAGGATGGTATTAAATACACTATGAAAGAGCTTATGAGTGGCATTTTGCAAGAAAATAAATAGTCGACACTCACTTTTTGTAATTGGAATTTGGGACCATTTTGGCGGATTAATGTATTTAGCGAGGGGGCGAGAGTGAGTCAAGGTTTGCGAGAATCACATAGTCTAATGTAATATTCTGGGACACTTTCTTTTCGTTTGTGTTTTTATTTGAGTTTTTCACTTCCTGTGATTCTACGATGGGAGTTGAGCATTTGAAGTCTAACCTTGACACTAGATCCTCAAGCGCAAATAAAACAGAGGGTTTGAAACATAAAAGGCCTTCCATTTCCCTTCCTTTCCATAATCAAGATCTAGACAAAACGACACATCACCTCAGCACACCTCGCCCCACCTTCCTATTTCCCATCATACACAACACCCGTCGCATTCACATTCCCACTCTCCACAAACTCCATCAACATCCTACTCAACTTCTCCCCCTGCTCAACAGGGATCCAATGACCCCCCTCCTCAAAAACCTTCACCTCGTAGTTCCTCAACCTCCCATTCGGATTCTGCGCCCCGAGATCGGCGCGAGCGACGAAGTCCTTGCCTGCTAGTACGAGCAGCGTGCGGGTGTCGACGTATTTGTTTGCGTCGGGGATGGTGAGCTCGTCGGCGGCGGAGGTGTGTTGCATGATTTGTTTGTACCTGGTTGGGGGTGTTGTTGGTTTTGGGGGTTTTATCAGGAGGAGAAAGGGGGGAAGGAGTGAGGAAGAGAGAAGGGAAATACCAGTTCAAAGGTCCGGTGTAGCCCCCTTTCAGCAGGATCTCGCTGTGTATCGCAGCGTCTTCTGGGGAAAGCCAAGGAGGGAATAAAACCACTTTATCAGAGAGGATCCATTCTTTTGCTGCGCCTATGGGTGCGAAATCTGAGATCCATAGTTCGGGGACGGTAGGGTAGAAAAGTGAAGTTGCTGCGTCATTCTGTGTTTCTTGGTATTAGCTTCTTGCTTCTCATCTTCAGATAGATATTAGTGATGGAGGGGAGAAAAGTTGTTGTACGTACATGAGCTTCTATAACCGAGGCGGCAGAGCTTTCATTGAAGAATTTCCAGTAGTCGTAGAGGGAGTAGCCGAATCGTTCTTTGGTTTGGATGTTGAGGGTATCTGGAAGGGGGATGTTAGTGTTAGTTAAACTCACATGGGAAGGGGGAGGGGCGTTAAGAGATACCTATGTCGAAGGGCCCTGGTTCTGAGTAAGGGACTGAGACGAAGACTAGAGAGGAGAACTTTTCGGGATGGTAATAGTGGAGGGGTGAGAGGAGGTTGCAACCACTTTTGGGTATGGATGTTAGTTTGGGTGTAATGGTTTGGATCACTTGCGACTTTATATCAAAGAGTAAAATGTGCATCAAGTATTGGAGACATGAACTCAAAACACCTCAACAGAGAAAGAGCCAAAGATGAAAAAGAGAAAAAAAAGAGTAACACAACATACTGATCATGCCCCACCCCCACCACACTCTCCAACCCCTCATGCTCCAAGATCTCCACAATATGCGCCGCCATCCTCTTCCACCGATAACTCTCCACACCCACAGGTTTATCCGTATCCCCGTACCCCAACAAATCAGGTACTAGGACTCCATACCCTGCATCCGTCAAGTTCTGGATCTGGATGCGCCAGTCGTAGCTCGAACTCGGGAATCCGTGCAGGAGGAGGAAGGTCGTCATTGTTGCGGTGGTTGCGGCGAGGTAGAGGTATGCGTATGTTGTTCCATCGTCGAGTTCGAGGAGTTTCCCCGGATACCCGAGGTGGGTTAGTGCCATGTTTTTGTTGGTTCTTTTGTTTTTCTCTAGAGGTATGTTGGATTCTTGGTGGGAGAGAGGAGTGGTAAAGAGAAGAATGTTTTCTACCGTTCCGTATTGAAAAGTGGTTTTTATACATCTCTCTCTCGACATGCTTGGCATCACATTAACGAGGTATCGATGGTATCACCGAACGACTTGATTACTGCATCAAGAACTCTCCTTGGCAAACACAACATTCCAATTCGTCAGCATCGGACATAAAGCATATAAGCTTACTTTCAAGCATACAGTACGAAGATCCCAATGAAATTAAATCAAAGCGAAACAAACCAAATGATGTGATTGAGCACCTCCTCGCTTAATAAAGTGGGAAGGGGGAGCTTCATTACAAATGAGTATGGCGGACTACTACATTGCGGACCGTTGCGGGATTTGCGAGGTGAGATTCTAAGTGCGAATCAGCCATGTTAAAGTGACGAGTTCATTCTGATCGCTGTGATTATCAATGGCTGCAAATGCCGATGGAGATTTAGGTGGCATGCAACCCTACAGTAGTTGGGAGCTGGTACAAGGAGTTGAAAGGTGTTTCTAGCTACAATCAAGAAAGTATAATATATCCTTCCAGACTAGTCGGCGCTAAATGAATATAACAAAATGGACATTCTGCCCACATATCTTTCAGCAGTACCGTGTCAAAGAAGTATCTTAATCCACTTCTCTAGTAAGCGATCGAAAAAGGGGCTCCTGGTAAACGAACTTTAACCAGTAGATAACTCACTTATCATTGCCATAATTTAATTCAAAATATTTAATTGTTCCATCTATCTCGAGTAACCAATGTAATTAACCGAAAATCGTAGGACAAGTGAAGGAATAATCCTAAGAGATTTGGGCTCGCTTACACTTAATCCAAAGAATCGGGTACAGCGAGGAAACAGTTTACTCCAGCTTTCTTTTGTTATTTTCAAGGGAGGTAGCGGAGCGTAACGAGTTATTGCTGGAGCTTTCAACGCACTTTTATTCCAACCATGGAATCAATAATCTGTTGCTTGACTCTATCCCAGCAAAACCAAAGTCACCCAGCTAAGTAGCTTCCTAAATCTTATGACGCATCTAAAGCTACAAAACCCAATCACCTGCTCAACTTCTTCTCCCTTATAAAACAAGAAGCCACCAAAGCACAACAAACAATCCCGATCCCCGCCCCAAAAGCACTATTAACAGCCGCGCGATAACACCCCCTCACAAGAACCCTAACATCCGGATCCAGCGTCTTGATGAAGTCTAAGTTTTCTCTCACTCTCCTCACTATCTCCTCAACATCCCTGCCATTCAAATCCTCCCTCAGCGTTGTCCTCAACCTCTGTTGCACAACCGTTGAAGCAATACTGACACCTGTCACACATCCAAGAGAGCGAAAAAGATAGGTGCAGGCAGTGGCGATTGCTTGATCAGATGGATCCGCATTGGCGAGAACAGCGAGAAGGGTTGTAGTGACACTCGCGCCGATGCCAAAGGTTGCAATACAAACACCCACAATAATGCCAACTGCTGAAGAAACAATCGCACCCGAAGTGAGGAAAATGTCAATTGTCCCCAGCATGCCGATAAACACCAAGAAAATTGTGAGGAAGTAATACCTCCCAGTCCTCTTCATATAAATCCCACCAAATAGCGACCCAGCCACAGAAGCAAGCATAACAGGCACAAGCCGTAACCCAGCCGCAGTTGGAGAAAGTCCCTCGACGGCCTGCAAGTAAAGTGGTACGTAGAAGATCGAGCCCATACTAGCAGCCAGACCAAAGAAATTGGTGAGGTAGCTAGCTACCAGAGAAGGATGGAAGATGACATGACCCGGCGCGAAAGGATGAGAGGCAATTTTCATCTCGATGAGGATGAAAAGCGCAAATAGGGGGATGGAAACACAGCAAGGGATGATGGCGAATTTTGACTTCCAGGAAACATTGCTACCACGATCCATGCCTACGAGCAGGGAGAAGACGGCAAAGACGAGAGTGAAAGCACCAAGGAAGTCGACTTTCTTGAGCTTGGAGAGCCAGTGTGAGTTTCCCGTCTTGGGAAGTTGGAGAAGGAAGTAGACGGCTATGGAAGCCACAATGCACAGAGGGAATTGTCCCAAGAATGCCCTATATAGTTTAGTAACCCTTTCTGATCATATTAGGGTTATAAACTTACCATCGCCATCCAATTGAGTCTGCTAAGATACCACCCAAAGGTGCTCCAATGGAAGAACCCAATGCGTAGACAAGATTAACATATCCCTGCCACATCCCTCTATTCCTCAGTGGTACAATATCACTAAGCAAGATACTGACTACTGTAGTCATCCCACCACCTCCGATACCTGCAAATGCCCTCGCGGCAACCAACTCATTTAGATTTCGAGCAAGACTGCAAAAGAGACAGCCGATGCCGAAAACTGAGTATGCAAATAGCAGACATGACTTTCTTCCAAATATATCACTCAACTTCCCATAGAGTGGTTGGAAACTTGTGAGAGTGAGAAAGTAACTACAAATGTCAGCGTTTCTAAGGTCGTGAAAGCCTAGGAGGTTTGATATAAAGGTAGAGAGGCTGAGGCACTAGGGAATGAGAGCGTTCCTTCTCCAAGTAAAGTTCAAGGCTCGACCTATCTCAAAACTCGAGAAAAGACGTGAGCTCGCTCCTTCCCTCGTACTCCCAAGACTGTTCTAGTCGTGCCACTATAGCGAGCGAGGACAAAGACTGGATCGAAAGGAGAATCGAGCTCAAGTTGAGTTCAAGTGTCTCACCCCATTCTCGACATGATTCTCGTGCAAGAGGCGTGAGTGGAGACAAAGGTTGGTCTTGGTTGAGGTAATGAGGTCGCTCCTTCCCTCAATGACCCTGACTGACCATCAACTCAACCAAGACAACGCGACACAAGTGGCCGAGTTTGAGATTCAAGACCGATCCTTCCCCTCTTACCACGAACTGCCCATGGATGTAGAGTCCGCACAAGACAGGATAAGACCTTGAAAGCTACTGAGAGGGAAGGAACGACTCCCCACCTCTGGCAGAGTATGAGACCCCTCCTCTCGCCCTCCCATATACCCCCTTCTTAACCACCTGCTTGGAAAACAAATCGCTGGGGAAACCGACTTACGCAGTAGCAATCCAACTCGTATTATTCAACGCATTCAAATCACTCCCCATCCTCGCATACGTACTCACAACCAGCGTTTGATCCATACTACTCAGCAGAATCTATATTTTCGCATCGTCAGAAAACATCCATTCATCATCACCTCCCGCCCTCATAAACACAATAATTCCAACGCGACTGTGCAAACCTCGCGAGTTCATCGCAAAAGGGTAGGTAGGTCAAGAGGAGTTACTTCTGCTAAGAGGACAGAAGAGGAATAGAGTGAAAAGGGGATACCTACCCCAATAGAAACAGCAGGAAACAGCATCCCCATCTTGGCCATCATATCCTTCCGTCCCTCAAACAGCGGATTTTCAGTCTCATTCTCATTCTCCACCGACTCTCCCTCAGCTTCCTCATCACTCCCACCTGTCCCCTTCCCATTCCCATTCCTCTCCCTATTGACAATCGAACTGTAGCTGTCTGGTGCACTTCCATTGGCCGTCTCGCCATTACCATTACCCAAAAGAGACGTCGTCTCATCCGTCTCGATACCAGTCCCAGAGCCCGCCATCTCACTCACTGTACTGTACGCTTCTAGACCAGACGTTATCGTTATCTTTCCGACTCAATCAGAATAGCTCAATCCAAGCCCAATGACAGGACAGGAAAAGAAAAGCAAGGAAAGCAGGTATAAAACAAGCTCTCCAATTTATCCGTATACAACAACAACAATATCACAAAATAATCCACGAAGAAAAAACCCATCTACTCGGCCGAAAAGTGGGAGGAAACCTAAAGCACTTCGGGAGACGTCAAGAAAAGAGTGGAGGTGCAGAGCACCTCCATGCATCATAGCGCAAAATCTATTACTTTGTTCCCGATGCGTGCGGCTTCTTGCAGCGTTCGCAGCGAGAGAGTCTGCGAGAGCTGACCGCATCTTCGAAATCCACTCATCATCATCATCGAGACAACTGCCCATTATTGACCAATAGTCGTATTGCGAGAATATGCTAGCCCCTCTGAGACGAACCAATTTTTGAAATATAATCAGAAGCACTGGCTGCCACTCATTTGTGAGTTCCTCCTTACCTCCACTGAGCCCGCGTAACAACTCCTTACAAACCCTTGATTGGTCACGTCATTAGACCACTCAATTGAAGAATTCAGCAAGCCTAGAGGGCAACAGTCGTTACAATTGAAAATACTTATTCACATCCTGATGAAGCGTCCCACCATTCACATCAAGATTTCGACAACTCAGGAAGGCACTCAAAACCTCACAACTCAGGGAAAAGATGCTTCAATTCACATACTTCTTACTTCTCCATCATAATCTAAATCTTATCTGATTGAATAAAAGAAGCAGCCACAATAATACAAATGTTGCAATAACGCGCAGCCTAAAATCCACCTACACCCTATGCACCAACATACGGATTTTCGACCTCCCTAACGCCAGAAAAGTAAATGCCCTTGACATACAGTCAGAAAAGAGTAAAGCCCCAATTGATGCCAATCTGGTAACTCCAACATCCATCTGGCCAGTTTGTACTCAAGAGACCAAATTTTGCTCGTCCCTTCCAATGTCAAACTCTATCAAAACAATAGCTAGACCATTGCGGGTATCCATGGAAGTTCCGCACATCTGCTTCCTCCGTTCAGGAATGAAAGAAAAGAAAACTAAAAAACATATTTTTTATGTGCAGTAAAAAGAAGATTACAAGTAATACAGAAAATCGTACGTTCAAAAAGAACAAAAGCATTTTTTTTAAGGATTTCTGGGGCCGTCTGGAGGCTCTGCTCTTATAAGCCACGCCCTAGTACAACTAGAAAGCTGGCGAAAAGACAAAGAGAAGATGCGATAATGGGGGCTCCCAACTAGTACTTGTTGAGAGTCGACGAACTCATATCTGATCGCTTCATGGGTAGTGGTGGAGGTGGTTTCTTTGATCTGCTTGGTGGGGGTGGTGGCGGACCTTTACGACCATTCAGGGCAGGGGGCGGATTATTTCGACTGGCTACACTGCCGTGCGATGTTGCGGGGCTGACAGAACGTTCACCATATGAGCGATCAGGACTGGTACTATTCATAGTGGAATCATCCGAAGGATCACAAAAGAGGTCGGCATTACCACTAACATTGACACGGGTTGAAGGGCGCAGAGTTGCTCTCAAGCTGCCAAAGTCCTGGGTGTTGATCTTGCGTGTCTCCGACGTAGGAGTGGTTGCGCGATGAATTGTTGTAGGGCCTTGGAATGTGGATGCGCGAGTAAGAGTACTTCGTCCAGATCGAGGGGACTCATAGTCAGAATAGTCCTCGGGACTGTTAAGAATAGGGTTCGCTCGGGAGGACGAGGGAACTCGAGCTTGTGATCTGATGGGAGCGCGGGCAGGCTCTTCAGGCATCGGTGGCTCATCATAACTATTGTATCGCTCACTATATTCGTGCGCAGTATTGGCTCGACTTCGTGGGGCGGGTTTTCTATGGTTTTGGGAAGATTTGGTTTGTCTGGTTTTCATTAGCAGTCATTAATTGCTTGGTACCTTTGGCACACATACCCAGCAGGCCAGTCTCTCTTTAACTTCAATAGTTCCTCTCGACACCTATCATAGTACTCCAGTTCCGCATCGACAAATGCTCCGAGATCCGCAACGCTGTCAGCCTCGGCTTCCTTGATATCCTGCATTCGCCTGTATACATCCTCACTAGACTCCTCATATTTGGCCTTCTGTGAACGAAGTTCTTCCTCGACCCGGAAATCCTCCTTCTTGGCCTTTTGCATCTTAGAAAGGGAGGCATCGTAGGCAAGTCTGCGGTTCTCGAGCTTCTTTCTGGCAGCCTATGGAAGATTAGCAAACGCGTAACTAATCAGAAACGCAAAACTTACCTGGTACTCCTTCATCATCGCCAAAGAACGCTCAAGAGATTCGAGCCATCCGTTGGTAGCGTTTACAACATAGGTATCCTGGCATCTGCCAATTCTCTCGTTGGCTCTACCCATGCCTAGGAACCAATTAGAAAATTTGTTCTTGAGATAAAGGGGGTGACGTACTGATGAGGCAATTTCCAAACTCAGAATCTGGCTCGAAATCTTCTCCATGTGCTATCATAGTTTGTCCCAGGTATGCAACTGGTAGCGTCTTCTCCTTGTCTTCGACCTCGTTTCGCTTCGAGAGTGACTTGACGTAGGATGTCATTGACTTGTGCAATTTATTCATTCCTATCAAATGTTAGAGAAAGTGCATAATAATTCTTTTGACGGACTGGAAGCATACCTTCGTGCCTAAGATCCATCTCCATCTCCATGGCTTTGAAGTCGTCAGAAACGTTCGTTTTGACCTCTCCGCCCATCTTCTCCCCCGCCCATTGCTTGACCCGGCCAAGTTTCTTGTTGATATTCATTGTGGCGAGTTTGTTGGTTCACAAAACAGTCTGGAGGAGTTGTCCTGTAGTTCACAAGGACCGATTCGTGAAGAGTGCTTTTCGAGTTCAGTGGAATGCCAATGCAAAGGCTGGTGTCGTCACAGGGAGAGATCTGCAAGCCACCTAATTTGGGTGTTTATCCGGAAGGCGGTTGATTGATCTTGGGACAAATATCACACTGGAGAAGTAGCAGAGGAGCGTGTTGGGAAACCTGGAATCGGAACAGATCCCAACAATTATCAAGACGTGATATTGCGATCCTTGTGGAAGGGAAGGAAGTATCCCCAGTGGTTGTATTGTTCACGTTTCTTTGGTGACGAGGAAACAATGGCGAGGTGAATACGGAGTATCAAGATGGATAGGGGAGAAAGTTGAGGAACGAGTGTAGATTGCCAGATCGGCGCTTGTTTGGGAGTCTCTGGATCAAGGTTTGGAGAAGTTTATGGTCGAGACGGCAGAAATGAGTGGAGCAGGCAAAAGGAAGAGCAGGCAGTAGTCAAGGTTAGGTTGCTGGGGACTGAGATAAGAAGAGAAGGGGCGACTCTGGACCGCGATTGACGGAAAGGAGGTCTAAGGTTTTTGGTTTTGCTTGGCGGGCGTTGAGTTGAGGTGGCCGACGGACACGAGAAAGGAGTTTATGCGAAAGGGAAGAGCGAGGGAGGGGCAGGTAGAGGTATTGGTGTATATTTAATCCAGGAGGCAGGCAGGAGGAATACGGTGCAGAAGTTAATCATTGGATACTCGGTCCATCTCATGTCATGACTTTGCTACGGTAGGTCCAGGACCAGTCTTTGTCTATTACGGTGACTTGGTGTTGAGAGGGAGCGAAGTTAATGGACTTCAGGGATCGGTTGGTTGGCTGGGTGGCTACTGCTGCTGCTACTGCTATGACCTTGAATGTGTGGCCAAGTTACCCATGACACACATTCATACACTACTACTAGCGCTGTCTTTCTCTTCTATAAAATGCGTTGGCAATCGTTGCTCGCTGGCTGAGGCACAGGATTGTAAGGTATGGTACTCGTACAGTATGGTATAGTATGGTATAGTATGGTATGGTATGGTATGGTATAGTATGGTATGGTATGGTATGGTATGGTATAGTATGGTATGGTATTTACAACCGAGTCCTCGTACGATTACAGTATTCCGTACCAGCAGGAATCCTCAAGAGGCATCCTCAATGCTGGCCGGCCTCCTTTCTTTTCCTCCGGGCAGGGGCACGATGCGGCAATGACGACGCGATGCGATGTCATTTTTGTTTCCAGATCCCAAACATCAACAACCTCTTCTTTTTCAGGAAGCGCGCGACCTCCGCAGAGCCACGGCTCAAAAGTCAAACTCGGGCATCCAATCATCAACACCACAAATTCCCTCAATCTGCAAGAGAATTCTCATTTAGTCCTTATAAAACTCCCAGGGAAGCGAAGGGTTGTTTGGCATTTCTGCCGGGCCCGGAGAGAACCGTCGTTGGCGCTCACGCTGCCGCTTCCTTAATATGCGGTCATTACTCCGTACCTCACTCGAGCAGAGCGGCTCTCACAACCAAGCACCTTCATCCGACCACCACCTCTGAAACCAGCAAACTCGAACTAACCACCAACTTCACAACGCACTATTTTTAGCGCAACCAACCACTCTTGCAAAGTGCAAAGTTTCATGCCAGAATATTAGCCAAACCCAATTGTTAACCACCCGCCTGGTCTTCCGTTGTGCTGTCTTTTTCCTCGCCCTCGAGTTCTCGGGGCCGTGTCTATCGTAAGGTTTGACAGATAAGAGTTCACCGCGCTGACCGCAGCTAGATGCCGAAGAATCAGGCATACGAAGTACCGATACCAGCTAAGCACAGTCCGTTGTGATCATTGACACTTGCTTATGATATTATTAATGGAGTGATAGAAGCAGGATTCTCCTAGCTATTCAGTACTAAAATCCAGTTCCGAGTTGCATGTACTCCTGAGTACTCACAGCAATTCATCAAACCACCTTTTCTTCAACGGAAGTGCGGGAGTTTAGGACTCTATTTATGTCGCAAAGACCCGCCCATCTTTCTTGTCCATAAACTCCCATCTTTACCCCAGATTTGGGGATGTCCTTGTTTCTCTTGGCAATGCCTCATTCTTTCGAGTCCCGATCTCAACTCTTCCAGATCATCTTACAGGTCACGTGCCTGGATAAATCCCGAAAGATCCGGATCTTCTTCGATGCTGTTTCAGATGCTCGATGGGTTCCAATTGCGATCGATGACCAGCCAGTGCGATGATCTGCGGATGATGATGTGATTACAATTGCGACAGTTGGTGGGCTGTGCGGAAGCATTTTTAGATGAGCAGTTTTATGTAAATATTGAGATCCTTTTCAGCGTAACGTTCCAATCTTAACATAGAATAAGTTGAATAACAACGTGGGATCAGAACATGCGTAAACCAAACTCAATCTCACATCACTTTTCTTATTCTCCCTCTCTCTCTCTGAAAATTCAAAGACATGTCATTCATGATGGAATGAAATTGCATCATCTCATCTCGCTTGATTAACTTTTCCCATATCGCCAAACACGGCCAATAGTCTCGCTATAAATACAGCGCTAACCTTCCTTCTAGAACATGCGAAGCGAGAATTATAAAAAAAATAAAAACAGAACATCTTCCCCTTAAGCTTTTATGTCCTCTTGCCCGCCTCGGCAATAGTGGAATACTATACTTGGTACGAGTAGCTTGGTTCTATTGGTTTAAGTAATTTTGGAGCTTTCCTAAATCTCCGATGCTTGATTAGATCACGCTCTCGATGTAGTTTGTATGGGTTTTATAGGATGAGTTGGTTTGTATGTTACTTCACTCCATTTGTCACCATCTATATTTTAGACCAGAGGGGAGCGTATTGTATAGGTTCGTGATTGTAGTCTCCAGACTTCCTCGCTTCTGTAAATATAGTAATGCTTTTAGTGACTCAGGTACTCGAGTCTTTCACAGTCATTGCGTCGCTTCTTGGGTCTTGTTGGATATTTGCGTTGGGTAGTCAAGAGCTTGGGATTTGTAGGTTTACCTAGTTTTGTGATGATAAATTGTTTAAGTTGTTCAATGTTATATTACGGAAATAAGTTTTTTTGTAAGGTGATGTGGGTGGACATAAGTGATTGAGATGGCTCTCTCTTTCTATCTCTCATTTTCACTCTCTACGTGTGTCCTCGGGGTACTTGAGAAGAGTTATTAATCTCTAAGTATAGTTTTGAAGATCGAATAGGGACTTGCTATTCAGACTCTTGGTACTTACGGAAAAAAGAGGGAATTTACTTTATTCACTCATTATATATAAAGGAGCAAATACTCCTACTGAACAAGAGTAGAAACACCCCTATCTCCGACTCTGATTGCTCAAGTCCAACAAAAGCTTGAAGATTATATCGAGTATCCTTAGCTACTTGAATTACTAAATTGATCATGTATATTCTTGTTTCGCTTTGAAAGGAGGGATAGCTGTGTTACTGAAAGAGACTTGGTTATCCTCTATATACCTATTAGGGGGAAAATGTTGTCCTAAAAGCCTCGTGTAATGAAAATAATTCTACGAATACTTTGGACTTCTAGTATGATGATTCTCTGTCCTATTTATAGAGTATTGACTAGGTCTCTGATTGTGTGATTCAGAGGAAAGTCTGTAATTGGTGAGATGGCCGTGTTATTCGGTCTCGCTTGTTGTATGAATGTAATTAGTAACGAAAGTCTATTACTTAAGTAGGAAATGAATCATGTATGATCTGGCGATATGAGGGTCGAGCGACTCAAGTCTTTCGAGTTATTCGTATTTCCTCGGTGACCTGGTATGTTCAAGCTTGTGACTAGATGTAAGTATTTAGATAGTCAGCCTTCAAAGATCAATTAATGGGCAGAACCATCCATTCTCTTGCTGCTTGCATTATTTCAGTGAATTTCATGATGCTACGGAGATCCTTGATCTGCGAGTAAACTAGTGACTTGAATAATATGTGAGTTGATCAATACTCTGGAAGCGTAGAATGGAAAAGTAGGAATTAAAGAATAGGGAAAGCTCTTGTGGGTACAAAGCTGGCAATGGATATTTGGTTGTCGGTTCTCTTCGATTTCTAGATGCCTGCCACATAACCGCAAACCGAGTACGTCTGTCAGTTAGCGCGTTCACTAACTCGCTCATAGCTTTCAGAATACAAGCCTGCTGCCCTAAATCACATCTGACAACAAGTTTCAACGTAAAGCAGCAGCAACATGGATACAGAAATAACACGGAACAGAGAATTGATGCAATATTTACGTTCTACAGTGTGTTAAAAATCTTTCATCTCATTTGAATTAAGTTGTTCAGGTTGAAGAACTCGCATAATAAGGTAAAATGCGTCTAGTTGTAACAACCTCAAGAGCGGCATTGCCTTAAAACAAACATAGAAGCCAAACATATACCGAACTATTTCAGGAATTGAAAGCAGCAACAGAAGATCGATTCTTGCAAGAAATTCGAACATGGTCAGTCATGCAGATGACATGTGACTTCTGTCACGATTATCCAAAGATCGCAAGGGATTGAAACTCGTACGATCCGAGGCTCCTTCTTCTCTTCACCCGTAATTAATGAGCCGAATTGGCTGCCACGCAGAGATGCAGCTCACCCGCGCTGCGAGATCGAAATCCAGATCCACATATGCGGATGACATATCCTACTGTATAAAAGCCGAGCTCTCCAAGAGTCAAAGTCAATGCCTCTCTACATTTGTACAGTACTCTATTTCATGATTCCCACATCAGATATCGACCTACGGCGAGCAATATCTTCCAATGATTTATTCATATGAGTAGAATACAGCCGAATCCCAAATCTATGGATCCGCACTCTATCTATCATAAATACCCATCTTGGCCAACCCCAAAATTTTCCCTTCTCGAGACCCCGTGCAGTAACCAACATCACAAAAACATCAAAAAGTCCTCGGCACTTCTGCCAGACACCCCGCCCACTGGTTTATAAATCACGACTCTATCACTCGTCCACTTGATCGTCACCGGATATTACTTCTTTGTATCGATCCATAGCCAGGGTTACCATCGGCACTTACATCTGCAGCCTCTTGAGGAAGCTCAGTTGAATTGAGCCAACTGAGAGGCAAGAGGGAACAATTGCACCACCTTCATCATTGGTCTTGGTGGGGGTGAAGCTTGTTAGTCCAAACCCCACAATATTGATATGGCGTTGCACTGCGGCGAGTTTTTGTCGTATCCCCAGATCTCTTCATTGTTGCACACTCCTTATAGGCTTGTGAGATCAGCCTGCAAGCGTTGTCTCCAGTTTGACATGAGATCAGATGTCTGGATCATGTATATATCCGTGGTTCTTAAATTGGAGACCTGCGTTCGCGTCCAAGGTACTTAAGGTGAGATGTCGTCTTTTGGGTGGTTCGTACCTTTTCGCCCTTTGTACTCGCGACAATTTTTGGTTCTTCGAAGAACACCAAGGACAAGATGGCACCGAAATCAAATCTCCTGGCCGCTTTCGCGCTCGCCTACGGATTTTGTGGATCGCTGACGTTTGCGCATCCAGGAGAAGCTCCAAAAGATGTACGAGCAATTGCAAGAGAGATCAAGCGAATGTCCGACGTGGCAGACTACCAAAAATCCGTGATGGAAGAGTGTTGGGACAGTCCACATGTCCAGGAGCTCCAGCAACGTGCTATGGAACGACGAGCCGCAACCGTGCGGCAGCTTCGAGAAGAGCGGGATCTTTTAGACAGTAAGGTCCTATTGGAAGATCTGAGAATGGGAGAAGAAGGCTGACTTGATAGCACCTATTTTGGATAAGCGTACTTTGGGAGATTTCAAGAAATGGGCCAAAACAAATCACAATAAGACAGGCAGTGGGATAACCCTCGCCTCACCGCCTGCTGTTCTCTTTGGAGCGAATGCATCATGTATCATGACGCCTGATAATGCTAATGGGCCATACTACGGTATTTGTTTAGCTTTATGTTCTATTTTGCGGAGGTTGAGGCAATTCTCTACTTGAAAAATCCCACTGGCTGTTTTCATATGTCCTGGTTCTCCGAATAGCCACTGGGGATAACAAGCTAACTCAAAGATCTTAAAAAGTCAAGGGCGAACAGATCCGTAGCAATGTCCGCGAGAACCAGAAAGGCGTACCAATGCACCTAGAAATGCAATTCATGAACATCAAGACCTGCAAACCCGCCAAGGATGTCTTGGTGGACATCTGGTCCTGCAATGCCACGGGTGTCTACTCAGGTGTCTCTGCAGCAGGTCAAGGGGGACTATCTTCATCGTGGCTTCGAGGTGTTCAGAAGACCGATATCGACGGTGTTGTGAACTTCGACACCATCTTCCCAGGGCACTATTCGGGACGAGCAACACATGAACACATCATCACTCACGTCGGCGCAAAAGTTGAAGCAAACGGCTCCTACACTGGGGGAAAGATCAATCATCTCTCCCAGCTGTTCTTCGAGCAATCGCTTATTTCCGCCATCGAAGCCACCGCGCCATACAACACCAACAAACTCCCCCTGACCACGAACGATGCAGATGGGTATACCGGCTACGCGGCCAGCACCTCCTATGATCCTTTCCCACACTACACGCTCCTTGGCAACAAGCTTGATCAAGGACTGTTCGTTTGGGCTTTGGTGGGCCTTGATCTGGCCGGTGATGTGGAAACTTATGCGCAGAACGCGGCGTATGTGGATGCCACTGGCGGACACAATAACCCGAAATTCAATATGGGTATAATTGCTACACCACCACCGAACACGCATGGAAAGCGGGAAGAAGATCTTGAGGACGAGGAAGAGGGGGAGGTCTTGGGTGAGGAGTAGATTGGCATGGGGGTTGTCAATGAGATCTGGGCTATGGTAAAAAACTTATCAAAGAAAGCAACTACATGAGTACAATTTTATCTTTTCCTTCACAGTGTGACAACGGATTATTTGGGACTTTACACATAAGCGACGTATACCCCCATATTCATGTCTAATGTGGAGAAAAAGAAAGTCGGGTGTGCAGAAGTGGCTGCAGTTATTCAGTCTGGTGAGAATTTCAAATGCAATGGCACTTGCCGTTGACGATATCTGACGCCTCAGCCGCGCATACTGTACCACGAAGGGTTGGGTAACCTTGAACTTGGCATGAATTATTTGACCAGTCACCTAAAGTTGTTGGTTTTTGGGACTTCAAGAACTCGATAAGTAGAGCCATTGGACTCGGCGTGGAGCCAGATCCACCAGATATGCTATTATGAGCCGTAAAATGTTTAATGCTGCTGTGATATTTAAGGAAAGAGCGTGTTGAAGAATGTCTGAGCATCATTCAAATTTCCCGATCTGGGACTACAAGCATAGCCAAGAGCCATTAGGTGAGAAATGAGGATCGGTGGCAATACCATGATATGCGGCACAATATATGTAAACAACCTCTACAGGTACGGAAAAACTTGCCGATTTGAGGCACAGACTACCACCACCCAACACCACGTCTAAATCATGACTTTTCATTATAACACATACAAATTAAATAGTAGAATGATGGCTAGATAGAGGGCCTAATTTGGGGAATTTTGAATGGTGGTATTGTAGATTATAGAGGTAAAAAGGGTGGATTTTAGGTGTTGGTAGTGGTGGTGGTCTATGCCTCAAATCGGCAAGTTTTTTCGTACCTGTAGAGACAACGTAACCGGGATAGAAGACATTGACGTTAAACCGCATACAGGAAGGAAAAAAATCGCGAAGAGAATCGTAGGCAAAGAAAGTAAAAGTAAAAGCAAAGGGCGGTGGAAGTAAAACGGAAGTTCTGAGGTGCACATGCGTATGATTATGTATGAGGTGTTGAAGATTATTTTTGATAAGCGCGGTTCAACAATCTAAAGACTTAACGAGTGAGGTGCATGTATCCACAAGAAATCATTTTCGTTCCTGATCCTCCAAGACCACAATTGCCACACGCTGTACACCAACGCTGCTTTACCTACAATTTGTAAGTGCGAGCTAGATTAAAAGAAATCGGTGATGAAAGCTCAGAGCAAGATCTTTTGTGAGAAGACGTGGTTAACCACTGCGGCAACAGTCTTCGCAATACACTCAATGTCCTCCCGAGTGGAAATATACGTTGGTGCAATAATAACGTGATCTCCTTTCGTACCGTCAACTGTGCCGGTTCCCAGGTACAAGGCTATTTTGAAGTCCGAGATCGCTGTATCATGCACCACTTGTGCTACACACCGCCGAGGGTCGAATGGCTCTTTGGTTCGCTTATCCTGAACAAATTCGATACCCCAGAAGAGCCCCTTCCCGCGGATGTCACCAACATTCGGATGCTTTCCAAGATACTCTTTTAAGCACTGTCCGAGGTATTTTCCCTGAATTCGGACATTCTCAACTAATTTATCTTCTCGCATAATCCTCTGTACCTCGAGTGCGGCAGCTGCTTGAACAGGCATTGCTTGATATGTTTGTCCGTGAACAAATTTACCACTGTGTAGCCCATTGACGATCTTTTGCGAGATGAAAACTGCTGCAATTGGTTGATAACCGCCCGCGAGTCCTTTGCCGACCGTCTGGAGATCGGGTGCAACGCCTTCCTCTTGCCAAGCATGCAGGGTCCCACAACGCCCCATCCCACTCATAACCTCGTCCAAAATAAAGAGTGCGCCATGCCTATGACAGACGTCTCTCATAGCTTTGAGATAACCAGGAACGTACGGAACACATCCTAGCGCGGCACCTACTACGGGCTCGCATACAAAGGCAACGACAGTATCGGGGCCGAGTTCTTGAAATTTCGCTTCGAGTTCAGCAGCCTTCTGGGCTACGAAGCTTTCGTTAGACTCATTGGTTTGCTGGCGGTATGCATTACACGCGGAGACTCGGTGGACATTCATAAGAAATGGTTCAAATGGCGCTCTACGAGCTTTATGACCGGAAACACCAAGAGCGCCTATTGTGATACCGTGATATGAATTCTCTCGAGCGATAAAGTTAACTCTTGGCGTATTTTTATCTTGCTCGTAGAAGAATTGACGGGAGAGCTTGACACTGGCTTCCATTGCTTCGGAACCTAAGAGGCGTGAGCTTAGAAGTGCCGAAGAGAAGAGGAGTGACCACATACCTGAGCCAGTCAAATAAACCTTGCTCATAGCACCTTGTGTTCCATTTATCAACTCTTCACACAATTCATTGACTGTATTAGAGGTCCAAATTGAGGAGCAGAGATAAGTGGATCCAGTCATCACTGCGGCATATTAGCACGTGCTAAGAATTCAAGAAGGACCGTATGGGAAATTGCATACATTGGCGAGTGATAGCATCAATCACTCTTTGGTTGCCATGTCCTAGACATGACACAGCAGCCCCACCGGCGGCATCTAGAATAATACTGCCGTCTTCGAGGGTGAGGAAATTGCCCTTGCCTCTAGTCACGATAGGGAATGATTTCTTGAGGTCTCGGGTGAGGTGTAAATTTCTCTTGATGCCCCCGCTGACGTTGATATGGCCATTAGAGGCTTTGTGAAGAGACAAGGAAGTCTCTTGGTTATCCGGAAGTATGTCTGAGATAGCAGAGGGAGCCATGGTGGAGAAGAATCGTCGCAAGTATAGTAGTAAGATATTGCAAAAGCAGGAGATAAGTATTCCAAAGGTCCACAAATTTGGACAAGTTGCTGAAAGGTTCTGGTCTGGCGTGCGTGGTTTGAGATGAATAGGAAGACAAAACCTAAGGGGGAACGTTCCCTATTTATACTCAAAAAGAAGAAACAACAGGCAGTTGGAAGTGCGAGTCAGAGCCAGATTCACGGCTTCTCTTGAGCATCGGGGACAATCTTAACCGATAAAGGGTGTACCGGGACGGCTATGATTGATTGCTCTTCTTCGCACTCGAGAGCTGTACAGCTTGCCAACAAGAAGCTGCATGAGGTAGGTGCGTAGTAGGAGCAACTAGACATGAAGTGTTCAGAAGTAGTGGATCCGTGGAAGATGGGATAGGATGAACCAACGGAAGTCAGGCGAAAGAAGGAAAGAGATAGCGGTTGGAGCTAGTCCAATATACATCATAGAGCGCGAGCTCAACCACTCAAAGCAAAAAGAGAAAGAGGCTAGAGATAGAGGGTGGAGAGCCTTTGTGCGGTACTATCATCGGAACTAGTTCGCCCTACCCGCGAGCCAGCCACGATCACCTAAGTACTACCCCGCCATTGCGAAGGGAGTGGGTTGTAGGAAGAAGGTATACTTTGAGGCCCAACACGGAATATTGCTTTCGAGGCTCCAAGAATCGACGGCTCTTTGGCGAGCGGCAAGGTTCCCCCATGATGGAAGAGTAGATCGGGGCTGCCTAGATATCCGTGGTGCATTCAGAGAGTGAGAGGGAGAGAGAAAGAGGGCATCGCCATGTTCCAGAGGGGCAGGTCAACGTGGAAGAGGCGGTGCAACCTTCGTCTCTCTCCTGCGATCTCGTCATGCTTGTACCATGTTCTTGAATCGAAGTCACAGTATCGCACCCGCTCGCCTTGCGTGGCGGTAGTCGTATGCAGCTGCAATACCATGTTCGTGCCCATGTCCATGCCTTCCGCATCCTCAAGTTGCTGTTGGTGGACAGGCGGGCGTCAAAATTCTTAGACCATGATCATACCGGCACAGAGAGATACCAACATGCTTCCATGCCATCGATATCGGCAGCTTCCAGTCTGCAATGCACCTCTCTACCTGGAGGTGACCGTGCCCAATGGAGAACGACGCCTGTTCTGGAACAAAAAAGGATGTCAGCGGATGTGCTTTCTGCTCGCCCTGGTCGGTCGTGTTGACCGCTCCGACATCCAGATCATCATATGCGAGTACCGAGGAAATTGGAAATGGGAAATTCCTGCTCACAGACCAGGAAATGGATATGTATGGCACTAACACCAACATTAAGCGCAAACGGCCATCCTCACGCTACCCACTACCCACTACCCGTTACCCACTACCCGTTACCCACTCGGCACTTCGGCTTCCATATGAGAAAAGGGGTCGTCTCCACTTCCCGAATCTGAGATGGAGAGCATGAAATCTGGAACAGCTGACCGGAGATGGTTGAGAGGCTCGTGTTGCCATACATCCTTCGTAACTTCATGAACCCATCATCCATGAGCTCGAGCCGAAAGAAATCAGCCCCCGCGCTCGCTGTACAGTACTGTAGCCTGTCATATGTACGTACTTGGTACTGTACATACTCGTACATTACTGTACTGTACATATTCCGCATCAGATCTATCAACCGCCCGCCCAACCAGGATCCAGGAACACGATACATCTGGGATGACGGGTCCTTGGGTTCTTCCATCACCAGGTCTCCAAATGCCTTTCACGCCGACACAATGTTGGGCCTTGGGGCCTTGGCAGAGAATGGGCACCTATCACGGATCACCGTACTCAGATACTCTTGTTTCGTGCATGAAAGGAACCACAGTACCTCCGGCTCATGGCCAGCTCGATGAACGCAGCCACGTACGAGTACTCGATTCCCGCTGTCAACCTAACATGAACCAGGTATCCGGTTTGTCTCGTCGTGATCTGATCTGTCCGACTCGTTTTCGTGCCTGATCATTGTATTCCATCGAGAACTGCTCCTACGAGCTGCTAACGCTCCACGACATGAGGGAGGTCCAGCCGTTAACCGAAAAGCTCCATACATCCTCCTTGAATCGGGGGCTAAACTTGTCGAGAGCTCCAAGCCACTGCAAAGATGCGGAAAAAAAGGCCGAGATTCATATGTCGTCGGAGAACACACTGCTTTTCAACACTTGAGCACTTGAACTTTGATAAGACCGTTAGGAATTTGTGTAGCCACGACCAGTTCGATCATGCAGCAACGATTGCTTCGCTTAGATCTACTCGCAATCTAGGGGGCGGACCTGTCGTACACATAGGCACAACATGCAAAACGCCAACAATCCGGGTTGTTATTTGATGTTTGTTTAAAGGATTTATCACGCGCACCAAGGTGGAAACCTGCAGTAGAAGTCCGGGATCAGTAATCCCCATCATGCCCTTTGGAGTGCTTGCTCCGAAGACAGCACCGCGATAACATTTACTGGGTGTTGTTGTGTCTGAGACATATATAACAAACTCGTTTTTCTTGATGTATTCGAGATCCGCCGTAGGAGTACTAGTTATGATTCGTTTTGGGTTGCTCCTATGTACAAAATACCTATAAAGAGAAAGCTAACAATCTTGACCCGACACTATGGATGCATCATTAGGCTCACGGCCCGAATCGGCATACCGAGATGTCTTCTTCGGGCTGGATACAAATACGGCTTTTCAATGCTCGCTATTAAGCTGTTTAGATTTCAGGTTGTTTCAACGTCGCATCGTAATCATGAGATACCAAAGCGCTCAAGTGCGCTGGTCGATGCACAAATGGCTTCATCAGTCGCTCGCTGACATGAACCCCAGATCGGAAGGATATCCAAACTCACCAACAGCTTCCGTTTCCAGCCATCACCATATAAACAAATACAACTTTATTAACTAAAGTCTTGGTAATATGGACAGGTTCCATTGCCTCGTGTTAGCTACCTCGACCAAAATTTCAATATGGGAGTATGAGTAGTATGTTCCACCTTGGATTGGATACTTCGCTAGATGAGCCTGAACTTGAAGGGCTCTCATCCTCATCGCCCGATAGTGAGTTACCACCAATTATACGGTATCTCTTTCTCATAGAAGGTTAGGTAAGCACGCTGATATGACCTATATGCGAAATGGGTTCTCCGAATGCACACAATAGCTAACCAGCCCAAGTCAATTCAACCACTCTTAGGGTCTATGCTTGAAAATCATGTTTCCCTGGGGCTCCATCCAGCGGACCCACGAAAGCACTGAGCAAGAGAGGGTGTGGGAAGCCGTTCAAACCGAAAATTAAACACCAATTATGACAGCTACATTCGGCCGAAGCCCTCCGATTTTGTGGTCAAATCTGACATAACTGTGCAAACACCAGTTAACTACTACGGTTCTCAATTTCTATTTCTGCATTTCTGAAACCTGATTCAGATCAACTCATTTCGAAATCTGAAAATTCGATCGGGATGTACCGACGAGCGGTCCTAATTGGCAAACCTCGCTCTACGGGCGTCTGTATATCTACATAACGAAGGCATCCCATATTATGGAACATGGATATTCGCCTGTAGTCCCCTGCGCATTAACTGCCGTTGTTGTCATCACCGGGTACTGGGTGTCCATCCGGCTTCGGGGGTTTCGAACGGCAACGATTGTCTGAAGCTGGGGGAAAAAACAAGATGTCTCTGCACGAATTGGTCACATTTCCATGGAACAGTATTCTTCTCGAATAGATACTCGTATTGGGAGTCAAGTAATGGCATGCCTACGTGGCGAAGCATAGAGGGAGCAGATGTATTCTATCGGCTCGTGCGATCCGCTCCAGTTCTACCATCTGCAACTCCTCTCTCCATTTACCAGTCCTCAGTGATACCCAAGACAAGCCGTCCGGTTCTCCAATTCGTGGGATTTGAATCACCATTTGCCAGACTATGGAACAACGCGCGACATATCAGGACCAAGCTAGAAAAGACCAAATCACAATGAAGACCACGCCACCCACAACTACGGTTATGTCGACATCTGTAGGAAGCTCAGACTGGAAGGCTTGCATGTCGAAATCAGCCCAATCTTCATGTATAATAAGCATTGACTAGATATGGACTTTGTCACTTTCCGTTCTGCTGCCACTGCTACACTGCAAGCACACGATTCTGTGCGCGCGAGACCCATGCCTGCGGCGGGCCGCGCCTTTGCCATCAGTCCTTCAGCGGATAATGCTCGTGCGAGTTTCCCTCCCTGTAAATCCTCCATTGTGTAGCCCTCTGCAGGTGTGTGATTCATGTACTGGGCTGACTCTCGATGGCAAGTCACGAGGTTCACTTCGAAACCAAGACCCGTATGAAGCACGGTTCATCACAAATTGATGCGGGGTGAGGGGTCTAGATGCCCAATATCAATGTGTAGCATGCACCAGGGCAATATCGTCACTTCATGTATACTGGTGTAAAAGTTGAATGTATATTGTCATGTGACAAGTGAAAACCAGCCTTGAAAGTTTGCAGATGAAGGTTTTGGATGAGTTCAACCTTGGGCCAGTCCCAGGTCTACGAGGGCAGTAAACAGTAATTGATTTCTTACTGAGGTGCTACTTGTGAGTAAGGTATATCAACCTGATTGACCTAAAAAAGCAACTGAACCCGTAGAGTCAGGTAAACAGGGACTGGAATACAATCGCAGAATTTGAATTTTCAGGGGAACACGAAAGATGTACAGCACTGGCTTACTCTACTGTGTAGGTGAATCTAGAAAGCTAGATGGGTGGATGAACAAGAAATTTTCGAAAGCAGCCACAAAATTTGTTGGTCCTACCTAACTCTCTTTTAGGCAATATAGTTAGGTCATTCTTCGGAAAACTTAGAAGACTAATAATAAGATTAGTGTCTAGAAGGAATAGTCTAATTTGTCCCAAAGACCAGGAGGAAGGTAGTGGTGAAAATCCTGCCGCTTTTATCGTTTAACTCGAGGCGAGTGGAAGGACTTCACGGTTGAGCCTCTTGTTTTCTTGCTGGCTTTGGGGCAAATTACGCGATGTCACCACCCACCAAACTACCTATTCTGTGCCAAACACTACGACTCTGAGCCATTATTCTAGTCAATTCCAAAATTAGAAACTTCCTTAAACGCAAAGGTTTTATGATGGAAAATGCTGGATTTTCTCGATTTCTAGAAAGATACCAGTCAAAGTTCTTTAGTGTTATGCATTAGTAGCCATGAGACTGGATCATTGCTTGTTTTTTGATGTCTTGTCAGAGCTTAGTTTAAAGAATGGAGAGTCCGAGCACCCTGTCCTCGACTCCAAGCTTCGAGATTGCTTGAATGTACCGTAGACAGTCAAATTTTTTCGGACTAATCTTTTACAATGACAATCTCAGGTCAAGTGGGAGGAAGAGACCTGTCCGTTACTCTGTCCACACTATCAAAAGTCGTCATACTAAAAGTCTAGCGCAGTAAAATTGATTGTTGTAGTATACCTAGGTTAGCAAGAAGTAGAAAGCAACAGTTATCCCAATTCGCATAATGTCTTCGGTTATACGACGCCTTTAGACTAACATTGCCTAGACATAGGTTCGTTTAGAGTAGCGACTACTTCTCTAACATATAGTATGAGTACGAGTACACAGATAAATATTGTGATGACGGACAAGAAAATTGGCAAGAACGTGCTAGAAGTGTCCGTCTCGACTAGACTCCTTATTTACGACTAGATTAGAGGAAGCTCGGCTCCCGGGTCAATTATGGTGGTGAATTGTGTTATTTATGATATGGAGGAGGTTGGGTGGTGGGTGGCCAGAGAAAGTAAATAAAGTCGGCCCCCACCAGCATATCACAGGGCCAGTAGATTACAACCCACCTGCAACCTTCCCGCCCTCACGAACGTTTTTCCAACTACACAAACCCCATCCAACACCTACGCATCCGCCGACATCTCGTATTTTATCCATCGCATCCTCACCAGCGCTCTTCGTGACGCGCCTCTCGCACCGCTATCGTCCGGCAGACACAGTGCGTAGGGGAAACAAGGCCATTGTCTCAAGACGCGGTTTTTGACCACGCGAAATCAAGCTTTCGAAGCCAAATCACATCAACAATCGCACACAACGCCCGCAACTAAAGGAACTTCCAACCACCACCAAAACGCAACTGAGGAGGAAACAGGACGGTGATTGCCACCCTGATTTCAGTCCTCAGCCAGGCGCAAGATACAAGTCGGATCTGGTCCGGCTTCCCGCAGGCGCTCTTTTATTCACTCTGATTGTGTCGCAAAGCGCACATCCTCGACCTTTCTTTTTGCGCTCGCGCTTGCGCACACAAATACACTTCGAAGACCCCACCCGTTCTCCTTCTTCCACCCATCGATACAGTTGTATGCGACAAAGGCATTCATCATCCTGTATCTGTAATCATGCCGCCATCCACAAAGCGTTCCCAGAGGTCGCGACGGGAGGCGATTAATAATGTCGACGTTCCTGATTCATCCCCCTCAAGACCTGCGAAGAGAAGAAAGAGAGTAAGTCCAAAAGCATTCTGCCAAATTATTACTGCATACTGATTCGTATCTGAAAGGTTGATGAGCCACTTGAGGACCCCGCCCAAGAGCCAGAACCCGCGAAACTTCCCCTCGATAGATCAGGTGTAAATATGATTGACGAAGAGTTGATCCAAGCCGTCGTCCCCACTCTTCTCATGCCACCACACTTTGTGCAAGCAAGCAAAGACCACGATAATGCACTATATGAGATCCACAATAAGGAGGGGGTCCAGGCATATGCCAAACTTGCTGCAAAGGGCTGGACTTTCTACGTTAAGAATCTGAATAATGTTATTGGCCGTCCTCCAGAAGGTGTCGCATCGGGCTCACAAACACAAGCCAACACTTTGCCTGGAGAGTCCGTAGGCCACGACGGTGTTCACATTGATCTGGGACCTAACAAGATGGTATCTCGGCTCCATGCTGAAATCTACTTTGACTCAGACTCCGAACGTTGGAACATTCATGTTCAAGGCCGAAATGGAATCCGCATTAATGATAGCCCCTGTCGGAAAGGCACCAGAGCACCACTTATCAGTGGCCAGGTAATTGAGATTGGAGGTGTTGAGATGATGTTTGTTCTGCCCCAAGAGGAAGGGAGCTTAAAAGTCAGCAATAAGTTCCTTGCCAGAGCTGGACTTATTCAACCTGAGGATGATATCAAGGGCGAAGAAACCGAACCAACCAGTCCATCGCAGATTTACTCAACACAATTACCCCGCGGCTCAATTGGCTCTGGTCCTCTGCCAATTGCTCCTGCACCTCCAAATTATCAACGCCCAGGCACCCCTGTCAGTGCACGAACTAAGCATCCTTACTCTATTGGCAAATCTCCAGCTTATGCTGGTGGTACAATGCTAATGAATGCTGATGATGTGGACTTGAGTTTGGATTCAAATCAACACATCAAGCCTTCTTACAGCTATGCCCAGATGATAAGCCAAGCTATTCTCGACACAGAAGATGAGAAATTGAATTTAGCCGGAATCTATCAATTTATCCAGGAGAAGTTTGCGTACTATAGACATCAACTTGGGGGTGGATGGCAGGTTTGTAGCCCTCATTTTCTCACTTGGTGTATTGACTAACTTTTGGTAGAATTCAATTCGACACAACTTGTCATTGAACAAAGCCTTTCACAAGGTCGCACGTTCAACTGACGAACCTGGAAAAGGTATGAAGTGGTGTATTGTTCCAGAGGTTCGAGATGAGATGGCCAAGAACTGCGTCAGAGGTGGTCGAGGTGGCCACAGAGGCTCTTCTGCTCCCGGAACTCCAGCCAACCTCAATAGTATCCCCCGAGTCTCCAAGAATGGCGAAACCGGCTCCACAGTCAGAGGTAAGCGAACGTCACGATCTAAGTCGCCTCCATCTAGTGCCCTCCATACCCATGGACCGCAGTTCACTCCTGATCGTGGCGGACGACCATTGGCACAAGATGACCTCCCTGGCGATGGAAGTCCGTTACCTCGACATCGAAGAACCAACAATGGTGCTTTGGGCCTCTCTGGAAACGCTCCTGGCTCTCCACCAGCACTCTCATCGTCTTACCTACAGGAGGAAGCTGGTTCAATGCAAACTCCAGCACCCCACCGTGTAATTCCCCACCTGGCACCACCTAGTACAGCTCAACGACCAAGTCAACACATGCCTACCAGTTCTCCTGCACCCTTCTGGAAGTATGCTGATATCGGTACAACACCCATGAAGGGTCCTGCTTTTGATGCCAGTCCTACCAAAGGAGGTGGCGATCTTGGAGTCCCACCAAGCAGTAGTCCTCCCCCACCTCGCCGTGCTGCCGCTATGAGTCCTACCAGAGATGGAAAGTCTGGAAGACTCGTAGCAATTGAAGCGGATGAGGCTGAGGATGATGAGGAAGAGGGAGGATTCGACCTATCAAGGTAAGTCGATCTTGACGATTTATTGCTTACTATGTTCCCCACTGACATCTTTTACAGAGGCTTTCAAAGCATTGGCTCCTATCACGCTCCTGTTGGCAATGGCGTTTTCGTCTCTCCACCTACCTAAGAGAATTGTCCATTTTTCGCCTTGTTTTGGTATCTTGTCGTGACACTAATTTTATATTTAGATGGAGTTGCCGACACTTCCGCTTTGGTTAATTTGATTGAGCTCATCGTTGACAAACTCCTAGGATTACGTCCTCAAGCTGGTTGGCTCATTTAACCGAAAAACAAAAAGACAAAACAAGAGAAAAAAACTTTGATTATAGCATAGCGAAACTACGGTCGGGGTATTTTTGACGAATTTTTCCTGTAATGGTGGGAATCTTTCTGTACTGGTGGGAGTTCGCCTTTGCTGCAGGGATATGAAAACACGGAGTTGATTGCTTTGCACTCCTTTTGGAAGGACTGTATTCTAGTATCTGGGAACAGACGAATTTCGGGCTTTGAGTGGTTGGTTGGTTGGTTGGTTGATATGCTAGTATGTCTGCCGAATGAAAACGTTGCATTAATCTACCTGCTGTGCCTCGATATTTGCTATGATGTTGGTCTTGAGGCTGATTGGTGTATGAGAGATCTTGATTTTTCTGAGACGCTTAGTATCTCTACTTACACAGACGGGACCTTGGGCTTACCCATATCCTGTTGAGATTTCTTCGTTCGGGCTTTCATGGGTTTGGGAATCATGAGGATTCGGTTTGATGTGCTAGAGACTGGGAATTATTGTATGGGATTCCCTATGTACGAGGGTCCTTTTTGGGATTCTTACTACAACTTTGAACCAAACGATTGCGCTTGGGTAAGTGTCTGCTACGAGTAGCTGATTGAGAACGAAAACTTTGGTATGTTTGTTCGGTGCTAGATTGAGTAATACTCCTTGAGTGCTAAGCTACGTCTATTTATGCTGTAGTTTTGCGTGTCGTCGTGTAGGAATTTCTGGCGAATCTTAGTTTGGTTTGAGGGGATACGTGAGGTCGGGTTGTTGGGATGACATGGAATGGATGGAAGTTCGGGTCATGAATAAAGTTTGCTTGTAATTAATTATGATACTCTTCTTGAGATTGGAAGAAATAGACTTGATGATTAATCGCAACACCGGCTCGCTATCCGCGCTTAGCAGTGACAACACTAACCATTAATCCCCTTGAATAACGTCTGCAGTCTTTCTTTCTTGAGCACGATTGGAATAAAGCTCAGGGAACTGGTCGGTTGAAATGGTTTAATTGATTTTATAAGATACTTGATACGGGAGGAAAATAATGAAGGCACGAGTACTCATCCAAGTTCTAAATGAAGCTCGTTGTTGATGTCACCAACGGGGGTGTGCTCGGGTATGCTACTGCGAGGGCTATCTTGTTTCTTTTTCGAAGCGGATTCAGGCAGTGGGCAAGAGATACGGTCATTACTTTGAACATAACTAGGTTAGGAGAATTGAAACAAGTACAACTTTGCTAGCCCAAGTTGATTACTTTAGGAATTCTAGTATCTTAGGTTCTTGAAGTGTGTATGGAGTAATGGATAGATCCTTTTCAATTTTATAGCGCTGGGGCTGGGTTGTTGTGTTGGGAGATGGGTGGGAAGTTGTTGATAAGTTGGGTTGGAAGGATGCTCGCTGCTCTCTGCTTTATATGAGGTGCTGCGGAGGTACTTGGGATATCGACTCGGCGTTGACTGCTCTTGCGGCCTAGATTTGATTTGTTCTTTGGCATGGAGATGAAGATATTTCCTGTTACGGAACCACTGTACAGTTAAGGGCTGAACAGTTTGGTTTTCTGGCTAGATTGAGTTGACGATATTAAGAGTCATCTTATATGTTTGCTCGCCTTTCTGTCAATCTTTTCAAACTAATATGAGTTCAAGCCATAAAGGTATGATTCCCGGGTGTCTAAGTTGATGTTCCTAACTATGTCGATGATTTAAGATGGCCGCTCTACTTAGGGCGGAAGGTAGAATAAATCAACTCAATTTTAACATTCTCGAGGTGCGGTTCACATGTAGAGTATTGGGAGTTACTCACTATCTATCTATAGAGCGCTGAAGTCTAGCTAACCACCTCGACCACCCCTACCACCTCCACGTGCACCTCTACCGTCACACAACTCGCGCCTCGCTTAGAAGCAAAACAACACCACCACCGCGAGAAAAAATCCTAAAAGCTGCACAACCTTAGAAAGACCTCTAAACAGAGCCAAAAAATTCAGTAGAACAATTTTCGAGCAGCAAAAGAGTTCGGACCCGCCTGTCCTAAGTCTCTGTTTACCCTTGTCGATTCCAATTCCAGTCGTGCTTTTCCTTCCACTAGGGAAGTGGAGCGTTCCACTTTACCAGGTGGCCGAATTGGTGGCGCCCACGCCGGAGCCCATTGGTGAGAGCGGAAGGTCTTATTTGGGCTCCTAAAAGACATGACTGTGTGGGGGTATGTGATGGACCCACTTTGGTGAATTTGCGACACTCTTGCATTTGAGCTATCAGCTATCTTTGTCATCCTCAGGGTCGTTTCTACCTGTGTATGAATTACCTACGTCCCCATCTATGAGATGCCATTCCATGTCGATCCGATTGATCGCACTCTCATGAGGTTCTTGATGCAGCCCCAGGGCCACTGCTGCGGACTCGCTTCGCTCTTGCACTTGGAGCCATTGCGGTGATGCTCCGCTGGCTAGGAGTGTTCAGAGCGGTGGTTATCGCGCCACCAGTTGTTGCGGTGGTGTAAATTCGTGCAGCTAGCCGCAGATACTAGTAGCTAGTATATACACCAGATGTTTGATATAAATGTCAAATATCCTCAAGAAAAAGTGGAACTTCCTAGGGTTTCCGATTTTCTGAGACTGTTATCTTGATCAACACGCTCCAAGTTGAAGGCCGACTAGGTGAGAATCGCAACGTGAGCTGCGAAGTGTTCGTGCAGGATAAGGTGTAGTAATATGGTCCAAGAGTACTTCAGGAGATCGTAGTGATATTTTCCCTTAATTCGAAACTTCCACGGTAAGTTTTGCCTTGTGCTAAGAGGGTTGGCTATTCGTGTTTGCAGGCGGGAAGAAGGTAAATCCGAATCCAGGGTTTGGTGTAGGGTTTAAAGGTTATCTCTTGGATTTATCGAGGATTGTGGAGGTGGTTAGCTTGATTACGAGGGGACCTATAAGGTGCGATTTAATAATAATACGGGAGAGCACCGAGATAGGCGGGGATGCATTTTTGCTACCTAAATCCTTTTATATCGTATTCTCTTTGAAGTTGACGCAAGTTTGTGATTTTGATGATTAGAAGTTTTAATTGGAGATAGCGAGAAGAAAGTTTATTCCTGCTGTTGTATCATTCAGGAGGCTACTTATCTGTCATACATAAATTCTCGGCACCGTTCCTGTTGATAAGATTCACAGTAGTCACGATTCCACTGTAAACCTCTGATATACTCCTAACCAGTAATGTTTCCAACCCATTGAACAACAAGCCATCAACAGAACAAGGAGGAAGAAATAACCTCCTCGTGCCCCGTGTCGAAATCAAAATCTTGAACTTTGACCACAAAATGTTCAAACCGAACTCCCAAGCAAAGGATCTCTCTCAGACGAAGTCACATCATTCTCTTCAGTCCTTCCAAAATTTCTGACTTTGTCACCATGATTCTTAAGTAGATAGCCATAAACCAACGTCGGGAAGAATACAAAGCTATAATCAGTCATAAGATTAGCATCACTCTTCCATCTGCCTAGTATTCCTCAAGACCAAGCGGTGAACGAAAGTGGGAAAAACATACATAAGCACCAAAACACTAATAGCACACTTAACAATGTTAGCCCGCCTATTAAAATAATAATAAGGCGGTGCTTTCCCAAATATACTGTCAAGCAACAGCCACAACCAAGTCGCACCCGCCAGCGTCGATTTCGCAATCTCGAAGCGGAGGGTTATGAGCGGTGTGAAAGGGTTGTAGCGTTGAACGATGATTATGAATAGGATTCCGGCTGCGAAGAAGGACAGGGCGAGGTGTTTTCTAAAGATTGATTTTGTTAGGATGGGTTGGAATGGAATGGCAAGTGTGAGCAAAAGGAAAAGGAGCTGACATGAAATTATAGATTCCCGTGTAACCGTATTCCATTATCTCTTCCCATACCCAGGTGCCGAGAAAGAGTATGGTTGGGAAAGCGACGATGGCTTGGAAGAGACATAGTGTGCGGAAGATTCTTTCGTGGAATGCGTAGGGCATTTTGAAACTTTCTTTTTGCTGTGCTTTTAACTTGTCAAAGTGAAGAATGAAGGTACAAGACGCTTAGATAGAGAAATGACATGTGATTTGGGAATAAAATGTTCTTTAGTTGTTGTTTTATGCTGCTTGAATGATGGCAGCCTGGAGTCGAGATTGTTACGTAAGGTTACATTGACGGCAGGTAACAGCCTAAACATCTTCAACAAATGAGAATTGTGTCCTGAAGGGATTTCAACTTGTAGGATTTAGAGCAAGCCACGTTTACGTAAGTAGTTTGTTGTCTGATGTAGTGGTTGGTGTTTTTGACATGAATGTATGAGCCTTGCGATACCTTTTCTTATGTTACCTTGAGGTAGACCCCAAAGTCGGCCGTAGGTGGCTTTCGATTTATGCATAGTCCGAGTGATCTAGATGTTATTTTCAATTATTTCAAACAACTCTGTTCTTTTCCTATAACAACATTCTAAATTGCCTTGAAAGTCTGGATTCATCACTTATTCAGGCAGCTGGCGCAAGTTGGCGTCTATCTAGTGATATTTTTGAACCCCGCCTAATAGCCGCGAGAACACACACGCAGAGTTAGAGAAACTTTATAGCCTGCTATTCCACACAAATTAGCAGACCGCTAATCTTCTTATATGTAGTAGAGCTACTTGTAGGGGAAGCTTGAGAACATCTATAAAAATTGCCTTGTTCTCGAGCTCTGGCATTATATTAGATTTATACGTTTTACAATCTTGCTTAGGGTAGCAGTACCGAGAGTACCTATAGAATCATTATATTCTTCGTCTTGGAATTAGAAGAGAAATCGAAGACGGGAATTGATATCCAAGAAAATCTAATTATCCTGTGATTAAGTTAAGGGACACCCGTAATAGCCTCGTCCTTCCTCCGCGATGTCGCGGTCATATCCACCTATGAGCCACAAAAGACGATTTTTAATACCGTTTGCACTTGTAACCAGTGCTCATTACTTTGATATATGACCTCAATGACTTTTTAGTTTAGACTGATGCCTAGATCCTCTTCTTCAAACCATGCTTTCGTTTGCTCCACCAATCATGTTCTTGCTATTTAAGAAGACCAAATAACCTTAGAATTTGGTAAAAAATACGTTGTCATAACTTCGGATTGCGACAACCAGATATACAATTATTTCAATCCAAAAAATAGAATCCCAAGGCAATCAAAAAGGCGAAGGATCCATTCATGGAAGGATTGATGCAGAAGAGGCTGTCCACGTGACCGTGCACGGCGACCTGATTCATACGTCAGATCCAAGTAGTGGCACTGGCGGTCGATAAGAAAGTCAAAAATAATTTTCTGACCACTTTTCCAACTCTTTGTTCTGAAAGCAACATCCCCAGCGCTTTCCATTTCCATCTCGTATCCAACCTAAAACCGGCATCGTAGATCACCTTTACCAACGTAGAATTCCGGCACAATCTGGCTGGCCAGTGTAGTTATTATTCACTGCGCTGCTATTCCAGACCCTGTCAGTCCCGTCCTATTTTGGTGGCACGCCGCACGCACTAGCCATTAAAACAACCCCACCAAGATTGATTCTTCCCCTCCATCTCACACCCGCTCCAGGATCCAACAACACCACGAAAACACCACAATCCCGCAAAATGGTGTCCGCATCCAAAGCCGCCCGTGACGCAAAGAGAGCCGCCGAGGGAAAGGCTCCAAAAAAGACTGTCGCCTCCCGATCAAAGGCAGGGTCGAAGACTGCATCAGGCGCTTCGTCTGTCGCTGGTGACGACACTCCACCCCTTCTCGATGCCGATGGAAATCCCCTTCCTGATGACCAGCAGCCTGCTGGAAAGAAGGCCGATGAGGTCAAGCGATTGGCCGAGCAGATGGATAGGCATGGTCTCTCCGACCGTGTTACCACCGGTGTGCTCAGTTCCCTCAAGCAGAGTCGAGACGTCAAGATCACTTCCGTCTCTTTGACTTTCCACGGTCGCGTTCTCATTACCGATACCACCCTCGAACTCACATATGGTCGCCGATATGGTCTTCTTGGAGAGAACGGTTGCGGTAAATCGACTCTTCTGAAGGCTATCGATAAGCGCGAGTATCCTGTCCCAGACCACGTTGACATTTACTTGCTCAACGAGGGTGCTCCTCCAAGTGAATTGGGAGCCCTCGAGTGGGTCGTAAAGGAGGCAGAGAATGAGATGGAGAGACTTGACAAGCAGGCCGAGCAAATTCTCGAGGATGATGGACCAGAAAGTCCTCTCTTGATGGACCTCTACGAGGTATTTCCCCCTGTTATCTTAGACGAATCACACCGCTAACCAAGCACAGCGTATGGAAACCATGGATCCTTCTACCTTCTCAACCCGTGCATCCCTCATTCTTACTGGTCTCGGTTTCAACAAGAAAACAATTACGAAGAAGACAAAAGACATGTCTGGTGGATGGCGTATGCGTGTAGCTTTGGCTAAGGCTCTTTTCGTCAAGCCATCGCTTCTTCTGCTCGATGACCCTACTGCACATTTGGATTTGGAGGCCTGTGTGTGGTTGGAAGAATATCTTAAGAAATGGGATCGTACTCTGGTACTCGTTTCCCACAGTATGGATTTCTTGAACGGTGTATGCACAAACATGATTGATATGCGTATGAAGAAACTCATCTACTATGGTGGTAACTACGACTCTTACTCAAAGACCCGCTCCGAACAGGAGACCAACCAAATGAAGGCATATACAAAACAACAAGACGAAATCGTCCACATCAAGAAGTTCATCGCTTCTGCTGGTACATATGCCAATTTGGTCCGACAGGCAAAGTCTCGACAAAAGATTTTGGACAAGATGGAGGCAGATGGCTTCATTCAAAAGGTTGAGGAGGATCGGGTTTTCACATTCAGATTTGCTGATGTCGAGAAACTTCCCCCACCAGTCTTATCATTCGACGACGTCACTTTCTCATATTCCGGAGACCCCAAGGACGACCTTTACAGACACCTCGATCTTGGTGTGGACATGGACTCTCGTACGGCTTTGGTTGGACCCAACGGTGTTGGAAAGTCCACTCTGCTTAAGTTGATGACTGGAGCCAACTCACCCACCGGTGGAATTGTCTCTCGTCACACTCATTTGAAGATGGGTGTCTACAGTCAACATTCTGCTGACCAACTGGATCTCACCAAGTCCGCTCTTGACTTCGTCAGAGACAAATACGCCGACAAGAGTCAAGACTACCAATATTGGAGACAGCAACTTGGCAAGTATGGTCTCAGTGGAGACTCTCAGACGGCCTTGATGGGCACTCTTTCTGAAGGACAGAAGTCCAGAATTGTGTTCGCCCTCTTGGCGATTGATGGGCCAAATATGTTGTTGTTGGACGAGCCTACTAATGGTCTGGATATTCCAACCATCGACAGTTTGGCGGATGCTATCAATGCATTCACTGGTGGTGTTGTCGTGGTTTCTCACGATTTCAGGTGAGTTTAAAAGCATGTGCTGGAGTGCCCAATGGTTTACTGACCCAAACTAGATTACTGGACAAGATTGCCAAGGATATCATGGTATGTGAGCACCAGAGCATTCGTAAGTGGGATGGATCAATCGGAGAGTACAAGAACCACTTGAGAAAGAAGATGATGGCTGCTGGAGCCGTGTAAGGGGCTAGAATGAAACGTGGAGAGAAAGCAGAGAAAGAAAAGTTTGCTGCTTCGATAGTCAGTATATGCGATATATCAATGTGGCACAGATTCGATGCCCATTGGTGCAATGGAGACGAAGGTATTCGCATCAAGGCTATTCTGGCAGCTATTTGGAGAAATAGATTGTTTGTGTTTTCTAGAGGCGTTAATTGAATGGTTGAAGAAATGAGAAAGTATAATTGCACCTCTGATATCTGTGGATGAACATGTACTGTTTCAGGGGCTGAGGAGATGCCTGAGTACTTTGTAAGGAATGAGACGGTGATTGTGCTGCATGCGGATGCTGTGTGTAGACGAAAAGGTTTTCGCCAGATTGCCGCAGGTGCCTTGCGTAGCATTATTGCCATTCCAGGATCGTCATGATCGGATTCGAGATGGATATACTGGGTACTCGTACAGTAGAGTTTGGACAGTGTCAGTTTGAAATCGTGGCCAGAACAGATTTTTGACGCTGGGCGCTTTCCTGTTTTGGCACTAGCTTCTTCCCTGTTGGTTGCCTTGTGAGCAGAGACGATGATGGGCCTGATTATCTTGATTTTGAGCCCGTCAGAGATGATTGTTTGAGGGACATTGGCTACCTTTCCAATTAAAACCATTCACTACCTTTAGTAGAATGAGTTATTTGACATGTCGCTTGACGATGCCGGTATTTTTGTCGTTGATACTGGAGCTGTAACACCTTTTTGGCTAGCTAGGTAGGCATTCACCAAGTATCATCGAATCGGGAGTCCGGCTGCATTGACGTCCTCCTACTGCCGATGTACTATCAATCTATACAAGTACCTACTCGTACACACTGTCTGAATCCCATCTCACTACCGTACTGTACTCGTAATCTATCTACCCATCTGAAGGCCACTACTCGCCCTCCACGGGTGAAGGTGCTGCTGTCAGACAGATGCGAGTTCGTTCCAAGAATGCAGGGGTACACGGACCAATCCTATTGGTGAAGCTTCCGTCATAGTAAGGTTCCTCTCAACCTCGCGGCGCTGCTCTGCACCGACCGAGAAAGAAGATGGATGGGGCATTTTTACGCTGCCAGAGCCAGAGCCAGAGCCAGAGCCAGAGCCATACCTAGCCAGTGCCAGCCAACATGAATGACTTGCTTTCCCTACTCACCCTCCTCTCGCCCTCCATCCCATCCCATCACACAATCCCCTTCCCCCTTCATCACCACCTCGCCGTCGCGATTTCTACCATCCCCACCGTGATTCATCAAAACTCCGTGAGGTAGGATATCGTACTTGATACCATTAACTACCTAATCGCCAGGCCGACTCCGCGGCTGGACTGGACAATCCAAGCTTGCGCGCGACACACAAAGGCCTTCCCTTAATCCATCAGCAGCCCAAACCTAGCTGATCGACCATCGACCAGCGCCATCAAAGACGCGCCATCGTCGAGATAACCTCCTACGACACCAACTCTCCCATCGCGATACCGTAATTCATATTTCGCGCCATCACAGCACTCTGCTGCGTGTCTGGCTGCTATGAGCATTTCCTCTGGCGCCATTGAGACTTGAATGGAGAGATAATATCTTTGACCCCGTCGCCTTGTGAGTCGAAAAGGCGCGGTAATGGACTCGACGTTTCACGCAACTGTCATGCAACGACCAAAAGATGAGGAAGAGGACCTGGTCAAGCGGGAGAGGATCAACGGAGAAGGCAGGCCTCGAGCCTACATAGCTCAATCGCCCACACAACCAGACTTCCGCCCAGCCTTCTCACCCACCAACGGTAATCCGAGGCCTCAGTTCAACGATCCCTATCATCCTCCAACACCAGCGGCTCTGCCGATACCAACAGCTTCTCACATTCCTGGTCCTTCTTCACCTTTGGCCGTGGCGACCCCAATAGGAGGATATCACAACTACCCATCAGCTTCCCGGGACAAGCCAGTCAGCAATTATTACGATCCAACATCGGATTCTAGTGAGCGACGGCCATCAGAGAGTGGAAGAGTTGAGGCACAGACACCCCAAGTAAGCTCCCATACCTCTCGCCCAATCCATCACTATCTCCTCGTCGGTACAAACTAACAATAACATGTAGGGCCGAGAATCATACAACTACCCACAAACCTCTACCGATCCACCCAAATACTATAACAACGGGACGTACACATCTCCAGTCGCCAACACATTTTCTCCAAGATCGCCCATCTCCCACTCACACCCTTACACGCGTGCAATATCACAATCCCCAAGACTCGCTCCGATGTCCCCCATTGCGCGACATAATGGCGCTACAATGGGAGGCCCAGTGATCAAACAAGAGGCACCCGCGCCTGTTACTGTTTGTGATACCCATTCTCAACGTAACAATTATAAAACTAACACGACGTGCCAGTCAACCCAGAGATCAGCCAACCCGATGGACTTTGCAAGTATTCTCTCAGAACCAGCCCCAGCCATCAGCGAAACCGTGCCAGAGCCTCCTACGAAGAAGATCCGAAAGTCAACATCCAAGCAAGCCTTGCCTCCTCCTGTACCAGAACCAATGTCAAGGGATAGCTCTAGACAATCTTCCCTTGTTCCAGCGCCTGCGCCAACACCAACGGTATCTAGAGTTCCTGCGAAACGAAAGGCCAACGGAGAAGCAAAGAAACCTTCTCCTAAACCCAAACAACTTTTGAAGGAGCAGGAAAAGGAGATTTCACTCATCATGGCGCAGCTTGATGCTGAAGCTAGTGATACCGATATGTTGGATGTTGAGGATGATCGCCGACTTTACCACGCAAGGGGAGTGAAGCGGAAGCTTCACGTTGAAAAGACTGAAGTTGCCAAAACTAAGCAGCGTCGGACGATGTTCGCTGATAAAATGGCAGTACAGTTTGGTAGGCATGCCGATCTTGGTGAACGACGATATAGAGAGATGCATGCAGACGAAGCCATAACAGCTGTTCAAGAGAAGGAGGTTCAGGCTGAGAAGGAACGTAAGAAAGATATGCAAAGAAAGCGTCGCCGAGAAAAGACTGTTGCCAATAACATTGAGCAAAAGGAGATCGCAATGGCCAAAGCACAAGAAGCAGAGGACGAAAATGAAAGACAGAAATATCTCCGCGAAGCACAGAGAGCAGAGAAAAAGGCACAACAGACCAAGGTTATTCTCGCCCGAGGCGACAAGGGTCCCGAGATCAAAGCTGTCTCTCCCTTAGAACCCAATCTATCAGGCGGGATGATGTCTACCTTTACCGCTGTCGATACCGATCCACCAAAGGGAAAATCCAAACGCGGCGGTGCTCGCCAACGAAAATCCAAGGAGCAGAAGCAGGCTGAGAAGGACTCTGCAGAAGCAGCACAAGCGGCTATAGATGCAGGAGAGGAACCTCCCCCACCACTCCCAACGCGGGATGAGCCTACCAAAATCCGACTCAAGGTGAAAGAGTCAAAAGAGTCTCGTGAAGAACCTCCAGCCAATTTTGAGCCCTTCGTATCTAAAGGTTATAACCAAATATACGACCAGATCTGGCGAGATCTTGCCCGTAAAGATGTCAACAAAGTTTATAAGCTCGGAATAGAATCAAATGCCACACGAGCATCCAATCTAAAAAAGACAGCTATACTTGCCTCAAAAGAGGCAAAGAGATGGCAGCTACGAACGAACAAGGGCACGAAGGATCTACAGGCCAGAGCCAAACGTGTGATGCGAGAGATGATGTCTTTCTGGAAACGAAATGAACGAGAGGAACGGGATCTTCGACGTCAAGCTGAGAAGGCGGAGCTTGAAGGTGCAAAGAGAGCAGATGCGGAACGAGAAGCCAACAGACAGAAGAGAAAGTTGAACTTCCTCATTCAACAAACTGAGCTGTATTCTCATTTCATTGGGAAAAAGATCAAAACCGACGAGGTCGAAAGATCAACTGACCATCCTGATACTGCTGCTGATCCTGATACCGTTCCAGGCAGCTCGGTCAATGTTCCAGAAAACACTGTGGCTGGTGCCAAGGTTACCAATTTTGAAGACCTAGACTTTGACGCAGAGGACGATTCTGCTTTGCAGGCTGCTGCCACTGCAAATGCTCAACATGCTATTCAAGAAGCCAAGAAAAAGGCCAGAGCTTTCAATGGCCCGGATATGGACGAAGAAGGGGAGCTAAACTTTCAAAATCCAGAGACTGGGGATATTGATATCGAGCAACCTAAGATGCTTCAAGCTCAACTGAAAGAATACCAACTCAAAGGTCTCAATTGGATGGTCAATTTGTATGAACAGGGTATCAACGGTATCTTAGCCGACGAAATGGGTCTTGGAAAGACTGTGCAGTCAATATCCGTTATGGCATATCTCGCTGAGAAGCATGATATCTGGGGGCCTTTCCTGGTTGTTGCACCTGCATCTACCCTTCACAATTGGCAACAAGAAATTACAAAATTCGTGCCGACACTCAAGGTTCTTCCATATTGGGGTACTGCTGGAGACAGAAAGGTTCTAAGAAAATTCTGGGATCGCAAGCATTATACCTACACAAAGGATGCGGACTTCCACGTTCTCGTCACCTCGTATCAGCTGGTCGTCTCCGATGTCAACTATTTCCAGAAAATGAAATGGCAGTATATGATTCTTGATGAGGCACAAGCGATCAAGAGCTCACAGAGTTCAAGATGGAAGAGTTTACTTGGTTTCCACTGCCGTAACCGACTTTTACTTACCGGTACTCCAATTCAGAACAACATGCAAGAACTGTGGGCACTGCTACATTTTATCATGCCAAGTTTGTTCGATTCCCATGACGAGTTTAGCGAATGGTTTTCCAAAGACATTGAAAGCCATACTCAAAGTAACACCAAACTCAATGAGGACCAACTGAAGAGATTACATATGATTTTAAAACCGTTCATGCTCCGTCGTGTCAAGAAGCATGTCCAGAAGGAGCTTGGCGACAAGATAGAAATCGATTTATTCTGCGACCTGACATACCGTCAACGAGCTTACTATTCAAATCTTCGAAACCAGATCAGCATCATGGATTTGATCGAAAAGGCGACTATTGGGGATGACAACGATTCTGGAACTCTGATGAACTTGGTTATGCAATTTCGAAAAGTGTGTAATCATCCGGATTTGTTTGAGCGTGCCGAAACGACATCTCCGTTCTCATTTGGCCACTTCGCTGAGACTGCATCGTTCATGCGCGAGGGACCAAATATCAATGTTGCATACTCCACTAGAAATTCCATCGAGTATGAGCTCCCCAGATTGATCTGGAGAGAAAGTGGCAGACTTGATTTGCCTGGAAGAGACAACCAAAAACTTGGCATCAAGGGCAAGTTTTTGACAGACCTACTGAACATATGGAAACCTGAAAACGTCCACCAAAACATCTCTGAAAATAAGGCCTTTTCCTGGTTGAGTTTTGTTGGAACTTCCATGGCCGAGCTGGCATCTGCTGCTCAGAACGACATTTTCTCTAGAGCTGTCGATTTGGCACAAAAGCCCAAGCGCCTTGGTGCACTCAGTATCGTATATGACGAAGAGCACAAGACTTACACTCCACCTCAAAACATGCTACAAATTGTGGATAGACAAGATCGGAAACCTCTTGCCGAGGTCACCAACGAGGGTTATCTTAATAGCCTCCTCAATATTGCCCAAAGCGCCTGGGCCGATTCTGGAATGAGTCGGCTGGAGCAGTGTGGCCGGCCTCGAGCAACTGCACCTCCTATTGAGGTTGTTTGCTCGAGCCGTGGAGCCAATATTGAGAGAGAAAACATTCTGTTCAACGTCAGAATGCGGAGAGCTCTTTATGGACCTTCTCCGGTTGAAGAGAAGGCATTGATTACCTCGAAGATTCCTCTCTCGTTCTACCCACCACAAAAGATGCTCCCAGCACCAAGTTCTGAGAAACAACGCTTTACCAACATTCATGTGCCCTCAATGCGGCGCTTTGTCACAGATTCCGGGAAGCTTGCTAAACTTGATGAACTTCTCTTCGAGCTCAAGGAAGGTGGTCATCGAGTGCTACTCTACTTCCAAATGACACGCATGATAGATCTCATGGAAGAGTATCTGACTTATCGTAATTACAAATTTCTTCGTCTTGATGGGTCAACCAAGCTCGAAGACCGAAGAGATACTGTGCACGATTTCCAGACGAGGCCAGAGATCTTTATTTTCCTGCTCAGTACTCGAGCCGGCGGTCTAGGAATCAATCTGACAAGTGCTGACACCGTCATCTTTTACGACTCTGATTGGAACCCTACTATTGATTCTCAAGCCATGGACAGAGCTCATCGTCTTGGCCAAACAAGACAGGTGACTGTTTATCGTATGATCACCCGGGGCACCATCGAAGAACGGATTCGAAAGAGAGCTCTTCAAAAGGAGGAGGTTCAAAAGGTCGTGATGACTGGTGGAAGTGGAGGTGGTGTCGACTTCAATACGAGAAGCAAAGAGAACCGCACCAAGGACATCGCAATGTGGCTCGTTGATGATGACGAGGCTGCTGAGATCGAGCGCAAGGAAGCCGAGCTAGCCAGCCAACAAGAGAAAGAGCCAGTTGTGACCAAGAAAGGAAAAGGCAAGAAACGAAAAGCTGACCCGGGAGGAGGGAGCTTGGAAGACTTGTATCATGAAGGTTTGTTCTTTGACACTGATGTCAATTACTAGGATCATGCTAACCAATATATAGGCGAAGGACACTTTGATGATGGTAGTAATAGACCTTCTGGGGCCGCCACTCCTGTTGACGACGCTGCTGTCGGAGGCAAGGGCAAGAAAGCCAAGAAGGTCGGAAAGAAAGCTAAGACAGCTAAACAACGACTTGCCATGGCAGATGGAGACGTGGATATGGGATGATTGATTGATCCGGGTGGGGTTTTTTTCATGTGTGTACATTTTAAAGACTTGACTTGGGGTGGGGGTTTGGCATGGGATGAATGAAAAGCAAATGGATTCTTTCTTTTTTTTGATTGCGTGGGGGTACTTTAGGGGACAGGGGAAAGATAGACGATGACACATCTAGGGAGCACCCCGACTTTGGAAGTCCTTTGTATTATACTTTTTTTCTTTTTTCTTTTTTTGGTTGGGAGGTTGCGACCCTTTTTTTTGGCTTGCTTTTTTTCTTTCTTTTTACTTTTGCATTTGCGACAACCAACGCAGAGAAGAAAAAGATTTGCCTGGGATTGCGATGGGGATTGTGTTTATTATAGATTGAGGATGATTGATTGATTGGGTGGGGGATTTGCCTATGTAATAGCCTGCCACCTTTGGCGTTTTGTCCTCTCTTTTTCGTTTTCTTATTTATCTAGTTTACTTACCGGGCTTCCTTTTTTTTTTTCGCTGTCTAGGTAGAGTAGGGTGGGGTAGGTTTGATGGGGTGAGATGAGGTGTGTGGGTGAAGTGGGTGAAGTGGAAGAGAGGAGAAGAGATGAGATGAGAATATAGGGTTGTTTTGTATACCTATTTTTTGTTTGTGACCACTTTGAATTTTTGGACTTGGTGAATTGGTGGTTTGTTTGGTGATGATGGTGATGATAGTGATGATGATGAAGTTGTAAAGTTCTCTGTGCGGCCTCCAGAGCATAGTAAAAGAGAGGTCTCGTACTTTAGTGCTCTCCCTATTTAGCTACGACTCTTAAGCGGTTGTCGAATGGGGAATTGGAAACTCCTTGAGTATGTCGTCCGAATTACTTACTTCCGGGTTGCATCATCACTTGTCTAAATGCTCAAGGTAAACCTTCGTTTCAAAGGATAAGCTCGCCAATTTATATGTGTTGAATGTGAATTAAAGAGTACAGTAGCGGAAATAGTGATAGATACTTGCGTATCATTGTAGCCTGATCCATTTTGTTTGTGGATCCTAACGAATTTTGTTTGTCGAGATATTTGTGGCATTTTGTGTATGTGTTGTTTTGGGATGTTCATGAATATTTACTTTTAGTGATCGGAGAATACGTACTAGGAGATGTATTGGAATACCAGCACTTGAAGTACAACTTCCTATTTCCAGACCGGCAAAGTTAAGTAATTCTTGTTGAGAAAGCACGCTCGAAACCTGAGCGGTTTGATGGTTTCGATCATGTTTCTGCGTGTTTCCGAGACGTATTTGGTTGGTTTGTTACTTGCTAGTATGAAGTAGTTGTGAGCTGTTGATAGTCGATTTGGGCTAAACTCGTTTATCAAACTACTTTGTACAGGTATACTTCATATTTCGTTCTTGTAGTACAAACTCCCGCATCATGATGATGCTAATCAAGTTGTACATAAAATTTCTAGGCAGGGACGCCCAGATTTCGAGGGCCAGCTTACCTTTGCCACTACTAATACGATCTGTCTTTGTAAGATCTCACAGGTTTGCTGATATTACGTTTCGTTCCCAATTGATACGAGGTACTTTCCTTGTGAGTGAGTTAAGAACTTCGTCTGAGATACTGATATCCCGATTAGGGAACGGTAAAGCCTTTCAGTCTCTTGATGTTTATAGGACTATGAAGTAGAATATCTCTACAGTGTGCCAAAGACTTGGTTTTTGATGTTTTCTCAGTCGTAAGTCGTACTATATACACAAGTAGCCGAACATTATTGAGTAGAATAAAAGTACTTTGAAGTTTAAGAGTCAGACGCTTATCTCTCACTTGGCTTGTTTAAATATAACGAAGTGGCCTAAGTTTAGCTCGCTAGTCAGGAATTGAGTTGAGGCAGGGATCTCTTGGTCACGCTCCACTGATCACGCTCGCTCATGATTGTGATTGCTGGGCCCCTCTGAATAACCCCACCGCCCAATCTTTAAGACATCCACCGAAGTCACTCATTCACATCGTCAGTCATAGGAGGGTTTTGCTTGTATACTGTTATGTTATTGACACAGCCCCAGTCCCAAATACATAAGTCGACTCCTCCCTCCCTCGTCCGAACTTCGGACAGTCAAGTACCCTCGTACCCAGCTCTCATAAGGTTACGTCACTAAAAAGCCACCCCCAAGATGCTGCGTTGAACCCTACACGCGCTCGGTCTACAACAGCTTTTTATTCTTCGTCCTCCTCCCGGCGCTTTCTGCGAATGAGTATTTGCCATGGCTACGAGTGCGCGAACCTCCCTTGACCATGATCCAGTCGAAGTCGAACCCGAATCTACCACCTCGAGTCCCCACTCCCTTTCAAAAGCTGTACTTGCGCGCCGCGACGAATATACTCGAAAGAGAAAGATTAAGATAAAGATTGGTTCGTGGAATGTAGCTGCCTGCCTAGGTACGGACCTCGATTTGGAGTCTTGGTTCGCAGATGGAAAGGGAGTCGATGAACAGCTCTCAGGCATCACCTTCTCAGACGACGGTTATGATCGAGTAGAGAGTGTTGCGGCGCAGGAGGCTCGTAGGAACAAGACGCAGAGTACTGCTCTGCTAGGCGATAACGGCGTGATACCTGGTGGAGAGGAGATTGGGCTATACGTTTTGGGTCTGCAAGAGGTCATTGATCTATCCAGCATCACTCAAGTTGCTACTCGAGTTTATGCGGATCCCGGTCCCACAAACAAATGGAGGAAAGCTACGGAAAATGCGCTGCCCAAAGGCTATATTCAAATTGTTGAACAGCAGCAGGCAGGCCTATTATTATTGATTTACGCGCATCCGGATGTTGCGCCAAGTATCAGCGCAATTAGCACAGTGTGCATACCGACTGGATTTCTGGGTTTTGGTTTTGGTACAAACAAAGGTGCGGTGGTGACGAGATTGTTGCTTGGAGAAACGACGAGAATGGTCTTCGTGAATTCGCACTTGGCATCTGGCAGCGACCCAGCACATCTCGATCGGCGGCTGTGGGACGTATCAAAAATCCTACAAGACACACATTTTGAACCCATCAATTGGTCCGGAGTTCTAGACGATGCGCGAGAAGGATTTGGGAATGAGGACTTTGGATTCTGGTTTGGAGACCTAAATTTCAGATTAGATGGATTGCCTGGGAAAGACATTCGACGACTTTTGCTATTACATACCAGGGGGGAGTACGATCCCGATCAAAAATCTGGATACAAGATAGAGAAAGAGATAGCCGATTACAATGCCCCTGTCGTTGTTTCGACAGCCGATAGTGACGATGAGTCAGACGAGGACACATCAGAGCCTCCAAAGGGCAAGGCTTCCAATAATACCGACGCCTCGTCTCTAATGAGTTCATTGCCAGATCCGGATGATTTTATCCAGGATGCTAGTCAAGATCCCACCTCTATACAAGCCACTATTGATTCATTATTGCCACATGACCAGCTGCTGAGAATGCAGAAGGAAAAGAAGGCCTTTCATGAAGGGTGGAGAGAAGGAAAGATCTGCTTTCTTCCGTAAGAGCCCCAACCCTCTCGTCCTTTCCCGAATTTTCGTGTCCAAGAGACAACTAACCATCAATCTAGAACGTACAAGTACGACGTAGGAAGTATGGGTATGTTTGATTCAAGTGAGAAAATGAGAGCACCTAGTTGGTGTGATCGGATACTCTATCGCACTAGAAAAGACATACTCGAATACGAGGAGAAAAAGCGAGATGAGGATTTAGTCAAAATTCGGGACGAGGAAATGAAAGCTCGTGGAATTGATCAGGCTGGTGATGAGGAAGATGTATTGTTCAATTACGATCCCGAAGAAGACGGCGGAGAACCATCACCCGATAAAGAGACCCCACCATCTAATACTAATAATGATTACGATGAATACAACGAATACAACGAGGACGAAATGAATCAGCAAGATGTGGTAATAACGAAGGAGGGGTTTGTGGATAGTGTTCATTTGGACTACTATACATCACATCAGAGAATTCTCTCATCAGATCACAAGCCGGTTGATGCTGTATTTTCGATAGAGTATGACGCAGTTATACCAGACTTAAAAGCGAAGATACAGCAGGAGGTAGCACGCGAACTCGATAGACAGGAGAACGAAGGTAGACCTGGAATCACTATTGTGGTCGAGCAGCTCGCAGGTCAGGTCGATAACTCATCTCGAACAGCATCTGGGAACAGCACGGCCGGTGTTGACTTCGGTAACGTTGCGTATTTACAAAGATCTTCTTGTACTCTGACAATCGCCAATACGAGTCAAGTGCCAGCAACTTTTGCATTTGTCGATAGACCTAATGCTGATGATAGTGAGACACTCGCACCTAGCTGGCTCACTGTTCGTTTTATTGGTTCAGACACAGACGAGTCGGAACGAGCCGACAAGGATCTCAAAAGAGACATAACCTTAGAGCCTGGGGATGCAATCAATGTTAATCTCGAAGTTTTTGTTGAGAATCTATCACTTTGTCAGGCCCTCAACGAAGAAACGGCGCACTTGGATGATATCCTCGTGTTGAGAGTCACAGACGGAAGAGACCATTTTCTCCCTATCCATGGAAACTGGCTACAATCGTGCTTCAGCCGCTCAATAGATCAACTCATTCGAGTACCCGAAGGCGGAGTACGTGCTCTCATGCCGCGAAGAGATGGAGCAAATGGTGGGCCCGTAAATCGCGGACAGCCAGTTTGCTGGTCTGCTCCGCGTGAGCTATTCAAGCTTACAGAGGCAGTTGAAGTCCTTACCGAAAGAGTAATTGCAGACTCTAATATGATCGAGAATGCTCAAATTCCTATGGAATCTACTGGGTGGCCCTTTGATGACAAATCTTGGCTGGTGAAAGACGACAAGGCTCGGGAGAGTGCAAGATCGTATTTTCTTGAAGCACTGGACTCGGATAAAGTACTTCTCGATTCCTTCCCGCTTGATATTACGTCCATCGAAAAGTTGGAGATTACAGCGGAGGTTCTGATGAAGTTCTTGAGCTCTCTAACTGATGGTATCGTACCCGAGTTTCTGTGGAAGAAACTGGAAGCAGACATCTCCCAAACTCCCAATCCCCTCACTGACCCCGAGGAGGTCAAGAGCTGGGTTTTGGACGTCTTGACCTCATCTCCGAATCACAACATTTCCTTTGTATTCCTCACAAGCATGTTAGCTCGTGTGTCCAGCGAGTTAGCACCAGTCCCAAAATATAATTGGAGTCAAGGAAAAGCGAGAAGTGCAAGAAGTAGCATGGACACCGTCCGACGAAGCCTTTCTTGGAGAAGCGCAAGACCTGCATCGCCACCACCGGAAGACCCTGCTATTTTGCGGCGAGAGAAGGTAGAGAAGAGCTTTGTAGATATTTGGCACCAAGTCATCTTCAAGGGGCCGGAGGGGCTGAAGGATAAGGAGAGGAGAGTTGTGGATGAGAGGAGAAGGGGTATCCTGGCCCCGTTTTTGAAGGTCAGCAGATAGGGTGTGGGATTGTGTGTAAATCACGGGGAATTGTATTAATGAATGATGATCAGTATAGAGCGAGAGGTTTCTCGGATAATTGGACCTTGGATTCTAGGATATCTGATTCTTTCTGCCTTGTCCCTTTCTTCTTCGGTATGGTCCAGGTTGTGTATACGGATTTGGAGGTTCTAGATAGCGAGATATACCCATACATATTTTTCTAAAGGTCTTACTTCATTACATATCTTGATCATAGACTTTCCTTGTAAGAATCAGAATTGTCACTTTCTTCCCTCACTCTTCGAAGGTCATTTTTTTCTACTGTAGAAGTCAAACTACCTCCGAGTTTGGACGGACTGCTCAAAATTTTGATTCATTTTCTTCGCCCCTTCTTCCCCCCTTGTCGCTTAGTTTGGCGAGGTGGGGCAAGTGTTGTTGTCGATGGCGTCATTGTTAAGTTGAATCGTCAGCGCTGTTCATCAATGTTTGTAGCCAGATACTAAGCATGTAAGGCGGTCCGGATCGGTTTTTCTCAAGGAGCCGCATCTACCTAGGTACTTATCACATCCCCACAATCGTCTTGGCATACTGTATGTACACTCGTACAGTAAGGCCCTGTTTTCCGACAAAATATTGAGCCGCAATTTGAGCGCTGAAATGAAATACAGGTTGCTGCCGAGTAGCTGGATATACTTCCTGTATTGCATTGTTTGCCATGCCGTCGGCGACCCTCTCCAAACGCAGTCGGGTCTGGGAGACGAATTTCCAGACTGCGCTTCCTCAGGCAACGCAAAATCTCTATGATGCAGAGGAGAATTTTGATGGCGTGATATCGCTCGCTCTTTCGGAAAATGCATGGGGAACCCTGATATCATTGTTATGATCTTTCATATTGACTGTTGTAGCATTTGGTTCACGATATTGTCACCGAATTTGTGAATAGAAATTTGAGTTCGCTTTTTTACGTTCTTGGTGTTTACAATGTGCATCTCGCTGAATATTCAAGTTCAATGTCGACAATGCATCACTTACCACTTACAGCGGCAGCACAGTTGGCGGAGGTCGTGTCAGAAAAGCAATGGCTTCACATGTAAACAAGTACTTTAATCCTTTCCAGTTTGTTACCATGGATGAAGTGCTTTGTGCCAATGGTGTCACTGCAATCTGTTCGATGCTCTCTCTTTTGCGCTGGCCGATGAAGATGAAGGACTCTTACTTATGCGACCCGTATATGGAAAATTTGAGAATGACTTCTCTATCCAGTCAAGGTTAGATGCTCACATTGAAAGTCTTTTCTAGCTAACAACCTTCAGGCTGAAGATGTTATATGTAGAGTCTGAAGGTAGGAAATTCTTCGCCCCTGATATTGTCAAGTCATACGAATCCCGACTTGCTGAGGCTGAAGCGGAAGGTGTTAATGTAAAAGCATTGCTCTTGTGTAATCCACACAATCCATCCGGACTGTGCTATCCAGTCGATACCTTGCTCGCTATTCTACGTTTCTGCTCTTCTCATGGACTGCATGTAATTAGTGACGAAATCTACGCTCTATCAACCTTCCCGACGACTCGTACAGCTGTAACTTTCAAGTCGGTCTTATCTCTTGACCTGGCAGGCGTCATTGATCCTGGATCTGTCCATGTTTTGTACGGCATGAGTAAAGACTTTGGAGTCCCAGGATTACATCTCGGATCGCTCATCACGAGAAACGAGCAGCTACAATCTGCCTTCGAAGACATCGGACTGATTCACACACCATCCGGGCTATCATACCATGTTGGTTCGCTGATACTTGAAGACAGCAAATTCGTCGAAAATGTCATTGGACTCTCTCGCCAGAAACTGTCGGAGAACTACGCTCTTGTCACCCGTATGTTAGATGAAGCAGGAATCGAATATTGGCGAGGGGGTTCGGCTGGATTCTTTCTTTGGGTGAACGTATCTGCTTTGCTAGATGGTGATGGAAGTGATGCGGAAGAGAAAATGGGTGAGAAGTTTCGGGCACAGGGTCTGTGGCTTAATCCTGGAGTGGAGAGGGGGGAGCATAGGGGTTGGGTTCGGGTAATCATTTCTCATGATAAGGTAAAGCTCGAGGAGGGTATTCGCCGGTAAGTTCTAGCTGGCATCGTTGTATCATATGGAGCTGACAGATGTATAGACTGATAAAGACTTGGAAGACTGTGCAACATCAGGTAAAAGGGTACATAGGACACCATGATATTTAGGGATTTGGGTAGGTGGTAATGTTGGTGTGGAACTTGGTCTTCTGGAATTTACACGACGGAACAAGCACAAAGTGACTAGGCATATCACTAACACAAAATTCAGAATCCATGCATAGAATCCAGTGTGCTCCCTCCATGAAGTATCGTAACTTCTGAACGCCAATGATTGTGCCATAAACTCGTAGAAGACAAGACAAGGTTTCAGCATTAGTATAGCTCTTCATTCCCCACCCATTGACTAGTAGTGGTCAAAAACCCTGTGTGAAGCAGAATCACTGACCCTTCTCACACAAACACCAAAGCCTGTTAGCATAATTCAGCGGCAATACAGCCTGAGGCGGCTACAACCATCTGCGAGACATTCGCAATTTTTTGTCTTTCTACCTTCTTACTGTATTGCTAAGATCTAGCGCCTTACCGCCAAATTGTCAAAGTTGCCTGCCTAATGCGAGTGTTACCCCATACTCAAGTAGACCCATTAAAATCATCTCTCAACCCACGTGAAAGAAGCCTACCATATGTAAGCTTAAAATTGCTGTGCCTTTCTTTAACATGATCGACGCCTTATTGAAAGTCCTGCAACTACACGGCGGGAGAGCGGGGAAGAATCTTTCCAACCAAGTGATGGTGATCTTTGGCTATTTTTCGTCAGCAGGGGTGGTCTGGTCTCCTGCATGGGACGCTTAAATCCAGCCTATCTTGGAGATATTTTACGATTAGTGTTTCCATAGAAGGATCATCCATAGGAGAATCAAAAGGTTTGGATTTGCACCCACTCAGGTTGTCAATTTGTCATAGATGGATCCTTTGAGAATTGTTCACCAAGAGCTCTGCGCTAATAGTATTATTCTGTTACAGAATGTGGAATAGGAAGGTTTGACTCACTAACATCTTTTTAAAGTTGGGCACACTATGTGCAATCCACCCCCAGAAAGCTTTTGACTATGCTTAGATAGGTCCACCTCTTACTTGTTGCTATATCTTCTGAGAATGACGAATATAGTAAGCTCTTCGTACCTCGTAACCTCCACGAATGAAGACAATATCCCATTACTCAGTTGGTCACGCAACCACAAAACTGAGGGTACATCGGTGCAATTGTTGTTCCATCGATTTCGCGAAAAGAGAGAGATAAAATCGAATGTGATAGAATCCGTCTTTGCTGTCGTGCTTGTGACTATATCGGAACAGACACTATCAGGCAGCTCGCAATATTTCTCGGTTATGGATATATGCATGTAGACTCAGACTAGTCTATAAACCAGCTCGTCACGCACTCACAAGCCTTATGATCGGATCTTTAAGTTTAAAAGATGTTTTCTCTTGTGTTTAAACGTTTGAATCGAATTCATTATCATTCAACTCCCCAACGTGGGCTCGCTACTCTTAATGGAAAACTGTCACAATCTGCGATAGGGGAGCATCAGATACCAGCAGTGCAAAGTCAAGAAGCGTCAAACCAAGATCTATACTGGCGAAAGATTCCTCAATGGAAGAATATTGGTATCAAAGAGTTTTTGAGTTACAGGTGGCAAGTATGCTCAAAGCTGCTCTGGTAGAAAGCAAGATCAAGGGCTTACTTCTTACCTGAAAAGGCAAACAACTCTATAACTACACACACTCAATTGGTGGCTTTTATGCGTGACGTCTTACCGAAGACCATACCTGGAACTTTCTCTACCACTGGAAAGTCACAAAAGCCTATTGAACGAGAGGGTTTTCTTGAGGATGTTAGGGATGGGGTGCAGAGGGCTCCGATGAGTGTGAGGCTTACTCCTCATATACTTAGTTTGATCAATTGTAAGGCTTTACACTTTCTTCTTACTATTCTAGCTACCTTTTGTGATGAATGATGAGGCTTCTTACTCTCAGCTCTTCTTGAGATGCCGAAACTTAATACTGATATATGTGTAGGGGAGCAGCCTTTTTCAGATCCAATACTTCGTCAGTTCATCGCAATAGGTTCAAGACTCCTACCAGATCATCCGAGTCTTACATTAGATTCTCTGCATGAAACCGACGACTCACCCGTCAAAGGTCTAGTCCATCGTTATCCAGACAAAGCATTATTCCTAGGTAAAATACAGCCCCATCCTGCATATCCACACTTCAAGTAACCAAAAGAAAACCCAGCAACATCCGTCTGCCCAGTCTATTGCCGCTACTGCACCCGCTCCTACAGCATAGGCGTCCCCACAGCCCTCGTTCAAAGAACTCGTTTCCTTCCTATGCCCAAAAAATGGGAGCCCATACTCCAATACATATCCACCACTCCCTCCCTCCACGACATAGTGATCTCAGGCGGCGACGCTTTCTCGCTCTCACCAGATCAACTCCTCTTTATCGGCCGTCGTTTCCTCTCCATGCCGCACATAAACCGTATTCGTTTCGCAAGTAAAGGCCTAGCCGTCTGCCCGTCGCGATTCCTAGATGAGGAAGATGGATGGGCAAATGCGTTGATAGAATTGAGTAATGAAGGAAGGGAAATGGGAAAGAGTGGTAGTCTGCATACACATTTCAATCATCCGAATGAGGTTTCTTGGATTACTGAACTTGCTGTGAGGAAGCTTTTCAGGGCTGGGGTGCAGGTTAGAAATCAGACGGTGCTTATAAATGGGATTAATAGTGGTTTTGAGACTATGAGTTCGCTTATTAGAAGACTCGCCGAGCTAAATATTCAAACTGTGAGTCTACTTTTCAATTCATTCCTTGAAATTTGGAAAGGGTTGATTGCTGATGAGAGATGCATGCTATATAGTACTACGTATACCAACACGACCTGGTTCTCGGCGTCGAAGATCTCCGCACCCCTCTCTCCACAATCTTAGAGCTAGAGTCCCAGATCAGAGGCACGATAGCCGGTTTCATGATGCCGAGTTTCGTTGTGGACCTCCCCGGTGGAGGTGGGAAGAGGTTAGCATGTAGTTATAAAAGTTATGATAGGAGAACTGGACGCAGTACATTCAGGGCACCTAATAGTCATGTGAAAGGATCCGACGGAGCGGACAAGCTATAAGAATACTGGGATCCAGTCTGGAGTTTGAATGATAATGGTAAGGAGAAGAGCGAAGATGAATAGAGGGAAGGCGTTTTGCCTGTTGCCTAATTATTTCTTTGCTCTTTGGGTGAATCTGAAATTGTTGAAAGTAGATGTGAAAATAGCGAGGGGTGAGGGGTCGGCTCCCGCGTAGTGTTCTGAGTTGTTTTAAAGGGTTGAAATGTTCATGGGCAAACAACTGGTACTAGTTGGCCTTAGAGTATATATAAATTAATTCTTTATAAGTGAAATATGTAAATCCTTATAGTGAAACTTATAATTAACCAATCAGATAATTAATAATTTTTGAATTAAATTAAATTTTTTCAGAAAGAAGGGCCAACCACTAAAGTGGTTGGTCGCACCAAGGCGAATACCCACTAAGGCGAACAATGTAGTTCATGTTCTAAAACTTAGTATAAATCAACCACCCACTAAGGCGAACAATGTAGTTCATGTTCTAAAACTTAGTATAAATCAACCACCCACTCATTTGAGTTAGTTTTTAGATAGAAATAATCGTAATTAGCTAATTAACAAGCCTCAGATCTAGAATAAACAATAATTCGTAGTTGTTATATCAAAAGATCGTGATCCATATTATCGAGGCCAGGTTTGTTGGGGTGCAGGGGGGGCTCAGCACGCACCACCATTAGCAATTTGGCGTACTCCGTATAGATGCACCTACTTAAGGAGCCGGATTACAACAACTAAGGATTGAAATTACTATTCTATCGTGAATCTGTCTATTTGCAATTGATTGATCCAATCTGTGAAGGAATCAAGTGTTTCCGACCGTGGATTATTGAGGAATCAATTATTTACGATAAATTGTTCGCCTTGCTGAGTATTCGCCTTGGTGCGATCAACCACTTTAGTGGTTGGCCTGAGAATCTAAAAAATAGAAAATTGATTCAAAAATTAATAATTTTCTGATTGGTTGATTACAAATCTCACTATGATTAAAACATATTTCACTATAAAGATTAAATTCTTATATACTCTAAGGCCAACTAGTACGGCTGGGATCTCTGAGCTACATGAGAGAAGAATGATTGTAGCATCATTTTCACTATACGAATAAATGTATAACGAGAACTTAGCACAACTAAATTCCTCTACCTCATCTCTGACATGCGTATTTATGTAAACATAAGTTAACTACAATCCCCAGCAGTATTCAAGATACCATATATAGCAACCAAACCCCCAACTTACCCCCACCCAGAAACCACAAAAGTATCCAAACCCGCCACAAAAAAACACAACCCCTCGCATGATAACCAAATAAACCCCCATCACTACTCCAATAAAAAGCCCTGGGTCCAACCCAACCCACATTCAACCCGATTGTTCCAATACAGTACAGCGAACAGTCTCCTCTCTCACACTTCCAAAATAAACCTCAACCCCCCCTTTGCTCAACAGTCCACAATTCCACGCCATCAGACGAACACCCAGTCCGCAAAAGCCGCTATGCTATAACGGCAAACAAGATACTACACACTGTACTACTGTAAGTACTGGCGCAGTAGAGTACTATCAGCACACACACAGGGTTTGCATACAGTATTTTCGTTTCGTTTCATTTCCTCCATTCAGCCGGTCTTGAAACACTCAAGCCAAAGCCACCAACCAGCCAGCCTCTTTTGCTTAACAAACTCCCACATGGACAAAGTGGAAAGTGTAAACTTGCGATGATCATACTGTTTGTTCCTGTGGGGGTCCACGTTTTGCCAAGGTACTGGGCGGTATGGGGATAGGTAGTTAGTTGCCTTGCAAAGGGTGAATTTTTGTAAGGCTAGAGGTTCCGTTACTGTGGTTGTCTAGGTCTTGATCTGGACTGTATAAGGATAGTTGTCTTGCAAAGAGTGGATGTTTATTTGAGGCTGAAATAGCGATGCGTTTACATTTCAATCGTGATTTGTGTTGGAAATACATTCGCACATAGAACAAATCATATATAATTCTTAAGCGAGCTCCAACATACGAATTTTGCTTTTAATGCCCTTTCAGCTTGAATTATGTACACTATCATCCTTGATATAATCAAGGAACTGTGAGTTTCCCATCAAATTATATACTCAAGGCCCTTTTATCCAAAAGCCTTTTTTCTAATATACAATGTACATCCCAGATGTCCAAATTCTCATTTCTCTTCCATATAAACGCACCTGGGTATCAATATGTTCGTCATCCAAGAAAAAAAAACCTTCCTCATGCCCATCCCTTCTTTTCGTCATCATACTGTTTTATCCAGATATTCGACGGTCGCTCCCTCAGTAGCTCAAAAATAAATCGTTTACTCCTCAACCTCGTCACTACCCCCAGCGAGCGTGCTGAAGTTCACTTCCTGTCCTCCTAGATCAAAACACCACTTCACACCCTCCCATCCTTCACGTCGTTTGATACCCACGTCCACATCGCCCATTGGTTTTCTCACCCCAGTTCCCAACTTCTGAAACGCTCTCTCAGGAACATGGGATCCCTCAATATCAAATCCCGTGACCAAAGCAGTGACAAATGATAATATTTCCGCCGTTGCAAAATGCCTTCCGGGGCAAAGATGTTTCCCGCCTCCAAAGGGAAAGTATCCTTGAATTTGCTTGCGCTTCGTTTCCTTGTCCAAGGTTGCTTTGGTAGATGCGAGGAAACGGGTAGGATTAAAAGAGTTGACGTCAGGGCCCCAAATTGCAGGTGATGAATGTGTGATACCAGATGGAAGTTGTATTACTGCGGGGGATTGGAGGGAGAAAGTGTTGGAATTGGCTTTCAAATTTGCGGGAGCAACAACAGAGCGTACTGATGTGGCAGATCCTACTAGGCGTAAGGTTTCGTGAAAGGTCGAGACGAGGAGAGGGCATTGAGTTTGGAAAAGTGTAATGTCCATCACTGCTACTTCTTCACCCACTATGGGTGAATTTTGGCGCTTAATAATCGGCTCTACCTCCGCACGGATGGCATCGAGGAGCTCAGGGTCGGATAAGATATAGGAAAGCTGCCAAAAAGAGGTGGAGACTGTGTTGGTGGTGGCTAGAAAAAGTGTCGAGACCTCGAAATTTGCGATGTCTGAATCTCCAAATCCCCATTTCTTGCAAGAAGCAAGGTGTGTTTGTATTAGTATACTGGCCTCTTTATCGTGACCGTTGGCATAGTATTCTTCGAATGCATTTCTAATAGCCGTTCTGGCGTGGTATGCTTTTGGCGCAATAAATGTCGGCATAAATTGTAGCATAAGAAGTGTCATGTCTGCTTCAAAATGCCTATGCTATGTTAGCTGCTATAATTCCGTCGGCCAAGGCCAAGACCACAATGTACTATCGCATACGACGCCGAGGGAAAACATACCATAGATCCTCTACGAGCTTTGGGTTGCCAGAAAATGGATTGTTGGGCCCATAAATTGCTTCGGCTGAGGCATGTGTAATGATATCTCTCATCCACCTGTATAATCCAAACTTCCCCTCAGTACTATCAATATCATTGAGAGACCCTGCCACTCTGTCTAAAACTGCTCTGTTCAAACTACGTAATGCTGGCCCTGGCGAAAGCGTATCTACCATGATCCTGTGATTCTCGTTGAGGAAAGACTTTCCATTATTTCCATTTAAAAATGGTCCATTTGGATCATATCCTGGAGTTGTCTCTCCGCGAATAATTTTCATCCCGTGCTCACTGATTTGGAAAAGTCGTTCCGAGGATTCGACAACGAAAGAACCGAAATCAAATGTTTTGGCGTTTCGATAGGCAGCTTGTATTAAGGAGGGATCGCAAATAACGTAAATTCGCGCCGCGCCAATTCTCAGTGTGAATGCTGGCCATGATGGGCATTTGGAGCTGGAAAGCCGATTAGTAAGTGGTGTTGCGTCAAAGAGAAAATTCCCTGTCAGGGAATGGTTCCACGACAGCTCGTACCTTAACATCTGCATGTAACCGACCTGCCACCTTAACATTCCAATCAAGTGCCCGATAAAAGGTACCTTGGAAGGCAAAACTGGTGGCTCTTGAAATTCGGGTACCTTCTTTGGCTCTTCCCTTCTAAACACCACCGTCGCTCCCACTGCCACCAAAATGACCGTTAATATTATCGTAACGAGGACATTTGTGTTATGATTTTCGGCCGCGAGAACTGCAGGTATCGACAGAATGTCCGTCTCGTTTGTAAAAGGCATCTTTCTCCGAATTCGACGTCCTTGATTCTCGTCCCAAAGGCAGATGGGGAAAGAAACGTCCGCTGCTGTCAACCCGGCTCGTCATAGAATTTTCTCGAGTCGCTAAAGAACAATTAAGAGCTATGGAATAATATATTGTAGTCGAATTCGAAGGAAGCGAGCTCAAGAAATAATAGCAAAAACCAAGACGTGCAGACAAGCAATGTGCAGACCGGTACGCGGCCTGTTACAGCAATCTCTCGGATGGCTTCTACATGTTTGATATGCTCACGGAAACGGGGCATCCTCACCGCATCCATTGGCACGATGAGCTTCGCGGCCTATCGTTGGAATGTTTCTGGCTCCATGCGGCCCCCATGACCCGGGAGCTCGACATGGCCTAACTGAGGTTGACTCGGCGCACCTGCCGCACTGCACCGAGAAAGGGTTCTATTGTCGCAAAGACGAGCGGATGCCCAGTTCAAGTGGCTGCTTTAGGTTTGATACACGTTTCGGATCGCTTCTCCTCCGCGAAGATGTGGTTCATGGGGGAGGAAACGTGGAAAGAAGACGCGAGTTTCCTCAGCCTTGGCACTTGGCACGGGTAGACTGACCATTTCTGGGAGCGGCGCGGCAAACATTTTGAAGACTAGGGGGATGATCACACACTCACGACATCTGGTGAATGGTGACTCGGTGAGAGCAGTTTTATATACGACCTCCGTACAGTCGCAAGCGAGTTATGGTTCAGTTCAAATCCTTCGAATTCACGATAGCGTGAACTTGTTCCAATTCTCCAACGCCGCCGCAACCCAAACCTCTCCGCATCCTTCTCGATCTGAGAAACTTCACTCGGAACACAAGCACTCCGTCCAAGAAAACAAGCCTAGATCGCCACTGCACGTCATAAACTCACCCATTTTTCAGCCAATCACCATATCCAAAATACGAGCGCATTTCATTAAGCGATAATCTCAGGTCAATTTCTGGTTCACAAAAGTAAATTGAATTAGCTCATCCGATACGACTCGGGCTGAGACAGAAATACATGTTTATCTTCATCCGCATTGTTCTCATCTATTTTGAGACTGATTCAAGCACTCTCAAGCTGACATAGGAATAAATTATTCCAAGGAGCACCAAAGGAACCCTTTTACGAGGAAGAGGCGCTGAAGAGGCCTTCAAAAGGACAGGATGCATTACAGTATTAAATTACCACCTGAGTGGTGTAAGTTAGAAAGTCGTCCACAAAGCTTTTCTAGTACAGTAGAAACATTTCTATTTCTACTTCATTCTTGCTCCCTTCCCAAATCTAGATCTTATTTATAATATCTCCATGTACTAGGATTCGTATGTGGGAACCAATACTTTCGCAAAAGATTATGGTTCATGTTTATCGTTATTTTACGCACTTAGCAGTATTATTACACGGAATTTTTACCTTAGTCTGAAAGTATATATATATTTACCGAGCGCTATATAATATATCCGAGAACTTCAGATGTTCTCACAGGAGTTAAGGAACCAATAGTCCGAGGAATTTGGAAGACATCGAAATCAACCGCCATGGCTGAGGTAGTACTCGTGGTAACGTGAATAAATCTTTCATAATGCCAAATTAAACCATCTAATGTGTTCTTAGACTAGAAGCTAATAACTTCATTGACTCACAAAAAAATCTAGACAAATCCCGTAGGATTCCATACCTCAATCCCCCATCCTATAATAAAGAAAAGGATAAATCGTTGACCTCGCTTAATCCAGGACGTCTGGCCTCTTACCATAACTTGGTTCCGGTAGTTAGGGCCACTTTTGACTTGACTGAAATAATTACTAGAAAACCCGCGAGTAATGCTCGATCATTCATATTGAAAAATGCGCAGCAAGAGGTCTAGATTCTAGACAGACTTCTATTCGCACAATATGGCTAGTCGAAGCGCTCCGAAGGAACAGGAGGTCGCACTGGCATTTGCGGACCAAGAGCACGTCGTGAAGGCAACTCTGCTTCTGGAGGTGATCATTATGTCAATAAAAATGAGCACGTGTTTGCCTCCCGAAAGGGTAAAGAAGCGACGATAAAAAGATGGAAATTGAACGGGCAGTAGAACAGCTGCACTCCGACTTTAAGAAACATGAGAAAGTGTCGCGAACTGTCTGACGAGTGAACTAATCTTTTGATAGGGCCCTGATGTGAAATGATAGAAGTGGATAGGTTTTCTGCATCCCTCAGGGAGGTAATGAGCAAATGAGCACTACAGTTGTTGCTTGAGACTTTGGAGAGATTACGAGCTTCGAAAATTTCTTCTCGCCAACGAGAAGCCGAGAAACGATGTCTTACAAAGCGAATTTTATGGACTTGGAAGCGGACAGAGACCCTTCGTGGATGGCTATCAAAGGTCAAAGGCCCTAGAGCAAATATCTCATCGACCTCCCGAAGGGCTTTTTCCCATGTGAATCAAGATGTGTACGAATTTTTTGGTGTGGATTTTGGTACGAAGAATAAAGGGGTGCTAATTCCCTGTTGGAAATCCCCTGCGCGGTTCAGGTGATAGGCGCAGGTTGACAATGAAATACCTAAACGGGCCAACAGAACGAACTTGAATACGACCGACATGAGAAACATAGACGTAACGATGACAGCTTATGATCCGCAAACAATGTCGAGAGTATTCGCTGATATAGTCTCAAGAAATCGCCATTTTCGCAGGAAGCTCTAAAACGGAGGATATCATTAGGGAATTTAATCGCTATTTACTTTGGATGGGATCATTTCTCATTTGGTTGGAAATTACCTGGAATTCGAATATCACATTATTAGTCCAAGTAATGTTTTTAGTCCCAGAGCAACATGCATCCTCTCATACGAGATTCAAAGGTTCAAGATTTTTAAGGCATAATTGTAATATTCTAAAGTGTGTAACTACCATCCAACATATAGCAGGATCTCAAAACCCAGAACGTTGCGAGAGCATTGAGGTTGTAGGAAATTCAATCCTCGTCCGAACAAACGTATTTTCGCGATATCATCATCAGGTTACAGTACTTGGAAAACTCGAGATCCTTGAAGACTTAGGATCCGGAGAGGAGGTATTTGATCGTGATTTAAATCGCTTGGTTCGTTAGTCAGAGCCGGGGGTGGAGCCACTTTATTAGGTCTTCAAGATACGCCCAAAACACCAACACAAACTTCCTTTTCAGTTGCCCTATCGCTATCGCCTTCCAGGAAACTTTCTCCAAGAGCACAACATAGCATTTCTTGCTCCTGTACTGCGTGCCCTAGATAAGCATCCAATAAAGAGACCGTTATATAAACAGCATCAAGGCCCAATCCACCGCTCCACGCAACGCGAGCTCAGCACACAATCCCCCCCAGCCGCTCATCACCAACC